TATAGAATAAGTTTTCAGGCATGTATAATCCTCAGATAATAACAGGTTTTAGACTGGAATAATATATAGTTCATTTGAGCAGTTCAAAAATAAAAATCATGATCTTTTATGAGAAAAACATGTAGCCTAAACTCAAATCATTATTTTAAGATTGTTAAAGTTGAGGATTAATAAACTCAAATGGAATATAAAAAGGTTTACTGCAATTATATTACTCCTGTATATTTATTTAGTAGTTTTCTTTTAATTAAACTTTTTATTCATAAAAACTTTTTCCAGGCTATGTGTTTAAATTTTATACATAATAAAGTGTATTTTCAAAGACATGATTAAAAATAATAGATCTTTAATTTACACTAATTTCTATCAATTTATAGATGTAATATTTAATATCTTATGTTACCCTCTCACAAAAAAGAATAAACCTACCGAGCTACATAATGGAAGTAGGTGAATGTTTTTTTTTTCTTAATCCTTTAAGGCGAGAAGTTTCATATACTTATAGTTCAGTAGAACCTGAATGCATCCTCAATTGGGTATCACTGTATTTCAATACACAGCCTTAACACCCACCCAATGATCAACTAAAGGTGCTGAAAATTTACAATTTTGTAAATGTTGTAGATTTTACAAAACCATATCTCAAAACCAGTAAAACCAAGTAGGTTAAATTTGGTATCATTTGAAAGCAAAATCAATTTATCTATATATAAAATCAACTTGTAAAAATTGATTTTTCAATGGATTTTGAGATATATCAATTTCATTGCACTAACATATTTGGATTTTTCAAGTACAGAATTCCAGGGATTTAAAAATTGAAATCTCTTGAAGGCTGATTGGTTAATGTATATGTTTGTAACAAATATTTTTTTAATATTTTTCTAGGATTAACAGATACAAAATGTTTTTAGCTTTTTATAAAATTATATATTTTTTCTTCTTTATATGTTGCAGAAAAACCTGAAACAAAAAGCTTAAGATATTTATTAGCAGTTGTTGATCATTTTTGATAAGATATTTTTACAGTCAAAAATGAATGTTACTTTGAACATTAACTGTTCAAAGGTAACAAAAATTCATTTTATCATTTCTGAGAAAATTTCTGTGTATGGCTGGAGGGTATGCATCAACTTTAGTGCAGTTTGATAAATTTAGAAATACTATTAAATCTTTTCTTACTAAAAGCTTGACTATAAATTTTGCTTACTGTTTGTATGAGGGTGTTAAAGAGAAGAGCCTATTAATTTTTTGTGGGGGCGGGGGTGTTCTTGAATATAAACTAGTAGGTAGGGAATAAATACCATGTGGGTAATATTCATTTTATCTGTAATTTGTCATGATTGCAACATTGATAGGTGTCATTGAGGATTAGTATTACAATAATTAAGGATTCAATAAATTATGCAGTTAATATATACTTTTAAAAACTATTTTAGTGATAACTATTGTTAATTATTAAAATAATTATCCCTGGAGATAATATTTTAATTAACAAGTATTTTCTATCAAATATGCTAATTAAACCATTTACACACATGAATGTTCTCAGATTACCTGACATCTTGAGACTAATTTGATTTAAAGTTACAAATATATTCTTTGGATATTGGTTGCTTATAGCATTGGTGATCATATACAATGGGGAACTAGGCCTTCTGTAAAGTTAACTATATTTTAAATTATCTTAATTTCAGAATTTATTACATATATTGAACATTTATTTTTTGTTAGAAAAAGCTGGTATTGAATGAAATACTCATAAGAAACCAATGTTGGTTTGTAAAATAAGAATGTTACTAAAAGTTTTACTCAAATTTTATATTTAAACTGACCTGGTATGAACTCTTGCACAAAAACGATCTTCTTAATTAAGACCCTTGCTAAAATAGACATCTTCAATAAAAAAATATTTTACAACTGTAATTACCCATCAATAATTAAAGGCATGCTGCAAGTATTTTATCACTGGTCTTCATCGTTCACTTATTCAAATTTTTCTTGGAGCAAATTAAACATCTGCTTAAATTTTGTCTTTGATTAAATCTTACTAAAGAAAAAAATATCTTTATTACATGTGATAGTTTGAAAAAGGCCTAGAATATTGATTAGCTATATTGATCTTAATTTTAAAAAATAAAGATAATTTCACTGATAGTATATTTTGCTTTTGTCCTAACATAAAATAGGAGTTGACAGGAAATTTGCAAATAAAATTAGTTTAATTCTGCAAAATGTTAAAATCCAGAATAAAGATATATTTATTTGTTTACCAGAAGGACCTGTTAAGTAATGTTATGATTATGGAGTCACTGACTTGTATATTTTAGAAGAAAAAAAAACTTCAGATTTCCTGCAGTTAATTTAAAATAATTTCTTTCAGCTCTGTCTTGTGCAATACTGCTAGTAATTAGTAGCAAAATTACTTAATGAAAAAAAGTTTATAAGTAGTTTACTGAAAGACTTTTATATATAATCACTTAAAAATACTTAACTCCCTTTTTTTTTTTTTTTTTTTTTTATAATTAAAACTTGGGAATAATTTAATGATTGAAAATTAATTAGTATGTGTGTGTCTTGAAATGTGTTTACTTTATGTATTTGGAATAATAAACTTAAATTTGCAAGAGAAATTGGTTTTATGTTTGCCTGAATTTGGGCTTTTAAAAAAACTAATGAAGTTTCAAATGTGAAAAATATCACCTCCACACACCCCCTTTTTTTTTTTTTCTTTCACTGTTCCACTTCAAGATAGTTGGTTATAATTCTTTTACAATGCTAAAAATACTTCAAATTTCATGGGTTGAGAAATGTTTGAAAACAAACAAATATTCATTGTTCTTTTGACTCTCACTTATTGATATAATTATTTTTATTCAGCTAATTTTATCATTTGTATCCTTCAAAAATTGCTCTCCAGTTCTATTTACTAATGCTTTGTTTGGTTTGTATAGTATGTGTAATAACACAATTCAAATGTTTCACAGTAAAACTGGTAGGTATTAAGCAACCTACGATAACATTTTTTAGAATATGCTTATATTTATATAACTAGACCATGTGAATTTCAGCTTATGTTTTTTAATGATGTATTTGGTGCAGTGGCTAAGGATGACTTGGATGTAGTTGCAAATATTTTTTCATATATGGCCTATTGTAATATTTTGTCACTTACTGTTTGTCACCAACTCTACATGCTACTTGGTACTTCAACAGTTGTGTAAGAAAATGAGACCCCCACCCTTGCAAAAAAATTGTTTTTTACTGCTTTTTAAGAAAAGTAATTTTGGTTTTAATCTTGTTCACAATTCATCAAATTAACAGTTTTTGTTTTAACAAGACATAGAAATTCTTATTTTAATTTTTAAAAAATGTTTAAATAAATTTATTGTTTGATGACAGGTGTCAGAAAATGGCATTGATTGATGACTGGTTTCAAGTTTATGGCAAAATTATGAATTTTCACTTTTCCAGTCAATCAGCACCATTTTCTGACACCTGTCAAGTGATAAGGAATTTATTTAAGCATTTTTTTTTTTTTTTTTTCCTTAAGATTAAAATAAAAATGTCTGTTTCGTTAAAACAAACTTTAATTTGATGAATTGTGAACAAGATTGAATAAAAATTAATTATTAATTTTTTTTTTTTTTTTTTTTTTTTTGAGAGGGGACTCAGTTTCTTATGCAGCCATTGTAGACAAAATATTTGCGACTGCATGCCCTGGGTCCAAGTCCCATTTGCCATTGAATTATGCAACTCTCAGGATTATTATATCGGGAATTATATATGTATATATAATAGTATAGTTATCAGTATTTATTTTTAATTTCAGATATATAAAGATTGTGATAGGTTATAAATAATGTCTATATATATATATATATATATATATATATATATATATAAATATATATATATATAAAACTCCAAAAGAGAAAAAAGATATTGTAAAATTATTGATGGAAACCTGGCATTAGAAAGGGTGAAAAAAGCTGAATAGAGATCATAGAACAATCAAAAAGAAAATTTAAAATATTGACAAGATAAGAACAAGAAAATGTCTTTAAGAATGTAACAAAAGCATAATAAGCAAGAAAAATGAATTGAAGAATCTATTGTTAAAGAGATAAATGGAAAAAGAATATTAAGAACATTGGCTAAAGATCTGAAAGCAACCAAACTAGCACTTTTTAAATAAACATCACAAAGAAATGCAAGTTGGACAAAGAAGTACATGAAAACTGATTTTTTAATAGTAATTTTTGTTATTAATATAGAGCTATATTGGATGGACCTAGTGGCTTGGTCCTTTATGAAAATAATCAACCAACATGACTTAGTGGGGAAGAGTAATATTTTGTAGAAAAAAGACCCTTCAAAGTTGATAGTATCAAGATATATGCAGAAAATTGTAAGTTTTTGAACATTCTGCAAAATTTGTCTTTGTCTCTAAAAGTTTAAAATTAATGGTTAATCTGCAGCCTCTCCAGGTATTAATCCAATAAAACATGTATATTCCATCATTTAATAGAGATGTTTATGAGAATTGGAAAATATTAAAAAAAAAAAATATATCTCTGGGAAGCAATAAAAACTACTGCAAACCAGTGGAAACGTTATGATTGAAAGACTTGTGAAGGTTATTGAATGTGAAGGAGCTCTAACATGATTTTTTCAGCTATATAGAATATTGTGTTAATCAAATATGCTTCTGTTAAATATTTTGAATTTATTTATAAATTAAAATTCATGCTGCACTTAGATTGTTTGCATAATAAAAGCTGACATTCCAAAACAGTTATCAATATTTTTAATAAGGATAAATATCACAAGCTTGAACTTGCACTATATATTGCTCATATAAATATGTCCTGAAAATTTTACAGACATTAGTTAGTAGTTTTAATGTAAAAACCTTTACTTGCATGATAAATGATGCTTTTGCATAACACTGAATTATTTTCATCTGGTATATTGATATAATTGTATATTATTTCTAGTGCTGAAGCTGCTGCTCGTAAAAAGAGCAAGAAGAAGAAACGGAAGCAAAAAGATATTGAGAGATCAAGTGGAGATTCTGATAGTCAAGTACTGACCGATGAGAAAGAGCATAGACTTCCCAGGGTGGAGGGGAAAAGCGATCAATCCCAGTCAGGTATTGAGGCAGATTCAGAGGGGACAGAATCAAAAAACCAAGTCCCCCTTGATCAAGACGACAAAGCTGTAAGCAAAGATGGTCAGCCTGAGGACTCTAAGGTGAGCTCTTAAACTTGGGCATGCACACACAATGTTCAGTTGGCAAGTGACAAAAATAAAAGATGTAATTAAACCATGCTGTTATGTTTATTTTTATTTTAGTATTTTTACATTTCAAGCTGTATGTTTGTACACGCATACTAATCTGGAAGAATGAATTCTGCAATATTCTTGAATGAACAGTTTTTTATTTTTATACTCATTTTATAATTTATATAAAATGTAAATTACTGCTTAAGGTAATTAGGTAATAAATACCACTTTAAATGTACTTTTACAATAATTCTCTCTTGATAGACTTTCAGTTATGTGTTGTCTTTAATTAAACTTCAATTCATTGCTGAAAATATTTCTGCTTTATTCTAAGTTTTGATAAATTTTATAGTTAATTTTAACATTTTTATCACTATGAATTTAAAGCAATTATGGTAGTTACATTTTTTGTTACTTCTTTTATGAATGTTTGTTAAATTTTGATACATATTTTCTAGTATTGTCTACTTTCATGTAAAATGATAAATTCTTAAGCAAATGATTTAAAATTCGATTTTTCGTTTTTTGTTTGAAATTATTCCTAATGTAATTAGATAGAAAATGAATAATTTAGGTTTCATTAGTTCTTGAATATTGTACTATTACACGCATATTTTTGGCAAACTAATCTAAATTGTCCTCCATCTAAAATGAAGCAAAAATCTTTGATCAAATTATTCTACATTGCTAACAAATATGTAATAAATTATATTCTTTTTTTGGAATGCTTCCTGAATTAATAAAATTTTTAATCTTTATTTCTCTAACAGGACCCATGGAAATTCCATGGATATTGTCAGATATATTTATGTATTTGTTATTGTAAGGTTGTTGAAGTGAATGATTGAAAATAATTAAATTCTACACTTATTTATTTTTTAATTTAAGATCAATATAAAAGTAAAAAAAAAAAAAAACAACGGCAAATACATTTTTTTCTATGTATGGCTTCAGATATATATTTATATCCAAGGTAGTAGCTTATTTTATCCTATTTAACTTAGGTTGCATGCTTTTATTTTTGTTTTATTTAAATTTTCAAAATCTTTGCTTTTTAAAGAATTGGAAAAGAACCTATGATTATATGATCTAAGTTAGATTTTTATTTAATATTCTGAATTTAGAGAAACTATTTGAACTCGTAAACACTGAATATGATATATAGGCAAATTACTGATCAGTAGCAACTTCTATGAACAGTGACTATTATGAAGGGATGGTACTGAAAATTTCTTAATCTGGTCAAGAAGGTCATGACCTATTGTCATGAAATGTACATGTCATTCCACATATTCACCCTGCAATTAAACACATTTAGCACATTGTTTCACAAATTTCATTAATTCTTACAAAAAATTTTGATATTTGATCAATGAAATGCTTTGCTGCTGCTTCTATCACCTCCAAAGAATTTGAATTTCTCCTTTTTCCAACTCTTTAAGGTTTGGAGACAGGAAATAGTGTAAGATTTGGTGAGTAGAGTAAATAGTCTATTCCAAATTTTTTATAAAACTTCTATCTTACCAGCCTTGTGAGCTGGTGTATTGTCTTGTAAAAAGAGAAAATTTGGTTGGCTCTTCTGAATATAGTCAATTAACAAAATACTTTCCTTATCTAAAAAAAAAAAAAAAAACTTTGACCCTGACTTTTCCTGTTGCCTTTTGGGCCTTGTATTTCTTCAGCCATGGAGAACCTTAGTGTCACTATTGTATGGGCTGTTGGATAATAGTTTTGTCAACAGTGGCAAGTTCTTCTCCAAAACAGATTCACAATATATCACTGAAAACACTGGAAAATCAACTTGGAAGTGTCTACTCCATATCATTTCCAGTCTGTATTCAAATATTTTGGTATTCACTTGGCAGATAGCTTTTGTATACTCCTCATAAATTATAATTCCAATGTGTTTCTTGGATTTCTAGTGTCTCAGCAATATTTCTGGTTGAGATTTGTCAATCATCTAAAATCAGGGCATGAACATGATCAACAATTTCAGGAGTTGACACCATGAAAGTATCCCAATCTGTACTGCAACATAGGTTTCAAAATTTCAGTGCTGGATTTGCATATGATGAGTGTTTGTCACCCAATATTTGCATCAAACATTCATGAATTTTCTTTGTAGTTTTCTTCTGTAGTAACAAGCTTCATGTTCGCCCAAAGTTCAACACTTGAAAAATAACACGCTTTTCATTGACTGAACCATTTCAATCTGAAACAAATCCAAAAATAAATGAGGATCTTGAAAATTTGCATTTTACTATATAAAAGCAGATATTTTCCAGCTATAGCTTTTTTAATGGGTTGAGAACTTTCAACATCCTTTCATAATGTCCTTTTAATATTTAGTAGATTAGACATTGAACGATAAAATGAATGCATATGTAGGAGCAATATAGATAATATAATTTTACAAAATTGCATGCAAAACTTATATCACAAACCACATTGTCTTTTAGCATGTGCTTTAAGAAAATGTATGTACTTGAGTTCTAGCTAACAGTTCAAACTTAAAACTCAAAACTTTTTATATATGTACATTTATATTCATACTTTTATATGTATACTGCTTGTATTTTATACTACTCATTTTGAAAATGTCCATTTTTTTTTTTTTTTTAAATTAATTTCTTTACCAGTTTATATTTAAATATACTTCTTGACACCTACATTAGGTTGATTATGTTCTGAAATATTGAAAATGTTTACTGTATCAAGACAAAAGTGCAAGTAATAGTCTGTACTTTCATATAATATTAATTTAGCAAATGTATATGTAAAAAGTATGTATTAAAATTCTATCCACTTTCCATTTCTTTGTGATAGTTATCCTTATAACTATCACGTTATTTTTCTTTTTATTGGATTTATTGTGGTTTCAAATTTCTAAATGGCTTTGAATCTGCTAGTTGAATCTTAATTGAACATTCATAAACAAAAATATTTCTAATATGTATGGTAATTACCACTGTCGGTCATCTCGGTTGGTTTCTCAAATCTGAAGGTGTTTTGAATAATATTAATTTCTATTCTTTTGAACTATTTTTACTCTACTTCCATCCTTACATCCATAAAAGCCGGTTTCATTCTTATACAATCACTTGTTAAATTGGTAAATTCTAGTCCTTAGTAACTGTCTGATAAAATGTTCTTTTCAATATTTGACATTTTAATATGGATAAGTGGTAGAAAATTGTTTAATTGGGTTGCAATTATTGAGAATGTTATCTGATTTATATTGAAGAATTAACATTTATTAGTGATTGTTAATTTACACTCTGCATTTTAAATTGTTGAAACACACATTCTTGTTAGTAACTTGAAAGATTGTGTTATGGAATATTTTAGTTTTCAATTTTTACTTTAAAGTGTATTACTGTGGTTATTTTGCTGTGTTATTACTTATGGTTTTAAGCTGCATTGTGTTTTAGTTTTATGCAAATAAATGGAATATGAATAGTATGTCTATTATTTCTGAAATTGAATTTGCTGTTAAAATCTCCATTTATATATTTAATTTGGTTTAGTGACATATACACAAGTACAATATAAAGCCAATTTGATTTAGGTTATTTAATTTCACGTTATTCATAAAATACCCTAATTATCAGTTGATATAATGCACCTTAGTCATGTTAGTTTAAGTGGTGTAATTTCTACAAGGTGATTTTGTGACTTTAATATCTGGGGATCAAAGTTTAGCCAGAAGACTTTTGAAGCACTACCAACCATTCAGCAGTGTGGTGTGATGGGACTGGGAACCAGGTCCAGAAGATTGAGGTATTTTTAATGATTTTTCTTTTATTTAGCCATTGGATTAAAAATAGTTTTATAATACTAGTGTGCTTTCAGTGGACTGATATCACTTACTAAAGTGTACAGCATTATAACATAATAGCTTATCAATTTTGTAATGCATGAATTGGTTATGAACTTTGAATGATTTTGTTGCTTAAATAACTTTATAAAATGTTTCAAATTAATGATTTTCTGAAAAGTAAATGGCAAAATAGTATCTATTTACATGTGAAGATTTTTTTTTTTTTTTTTTACATTAAGTAGAAATTAATTGCAAATATTTTTCATTAATTATTACTAGTTGGAAGTGCAAATCTAGAAAGAAAAAATTGGGTTTGTTGATACTTGCTTTTTTTTTTGTTTGTTTTTTTTTTTTTTTTTTTTTCCAGATTCAGCTTGAAAAGAACCTAAAATTGATGACATGAAAGCTCTAATGTGTATAACTTTAATCATCAATACTAGTGTTTTATTATCTTTTAAGGACTCTATCTAATCATTTTGTTACAAGTTTGCAAAAGCATATTGCTTTATAATCTTGTATTAATGTGTTGCTAACATTTTCTTTTTTTTTAAACATGAAACCAAATTTTTTTTGAAGATGGCAAAAATTAAATTTATCTAACATGAATGATTGGCAGAAACATTGTATACTTTAATTTTTTTCAATTATATTTGTTGCTGTCCTTTTTTTTTTTTTTTTTTAAACAAATGTGCTATTGCTTTGAGCATCAGCACTTAATTTTCTGCTCTCTGAATTTGGTAATATCTATTCTTAATTGGCACTTTTGCTATATCTAACATAGCGCTTCCTATTCATCAATTTCATTTGGTGCTGAAAATAACACCAAATAATATTGACAAGTAGGGAGTTATCTTTATTCAATGCTCTCAATTGAAAAAAGGGTAAATGAGTTTGATGAATGGTAAATCTGTCAAAAACTCTAGGTACAGTACTTGCAAATAAAATTTGGTAAAGGTCTACTGGGGATTGCTTGATGCCAGAATTTTTCTGTCTTGGCAGTGATGGGCCAGTTTACAATGAATAGGTAATAATTTTGATTCTAATTTGATTTACTCTTGGAATTCAATTAACAAATTGAGTTTTTATGTATATTCTCTTAAAATTTTATTTTATTTTAGCACCAATCTATAGTTGCTGGTCTGCAAAAGATTCAGTGGGCGATGGAGTTACTATCCATGCCACAAGGTGCACCCAAAAGTTTGGAGGAAGCAAACAAAAAGCGGTACCAGTTTTGGGAGACACAGCCCGTCCCTAAGCTCTGTAAGTTTTAGTTTGAGCAAACTAATTTTACAAAAAGCTATCTTGAGTAGAAGTTTTTAGCTTTCGCTATAAAATTTGTATCTGCACAAATGTATATTTGGTCTTTCAATTATAAATTCATATTAAATTGTAATGACAAGATTTTCTTAAATTAGCAAATCTGTAGCATTCCCTTTAGTATCTTTCATCACTTTTAGATAAAAAAATAAATTCTTCATTTTTCAGCTGAGAAAATAGAGGAAAATGTCAATGAATGCATTGAAACTGACAAACTCCCAGAAGATATACGTCAAGAATCGTATTCACTACCTGAAGGTTTTCGTTGGGACACATTGGATATCAACAAACCAGATATTGTGAGTTTGTATGATCAAATTTATCTGCATGGAATTTGAGAACTTTTACTTTTAGATTTCATTTGCTATATTTGTCATTTTTTTCCTGTTAAATCTGTCTTGTCTTTAAGAAATACTTTTTATCAGTCTGTATAAGATACGTTATATTAATTCAATTCTTTATTAAATATATTAAGCTAAAAGCAAAAGCCAGCTTTATCTATTATTTTTAAATTCAATATCTTCTATATTCTCTTTATTAAAATTTTAGTTTCATAAAAAAAATTGTCAAGTTTTGAAAAACATTCCAATTTTTTTTTTTTTTTTTGTGAAAGTTAATTTATTGCAATTTTTTTTTTATTTACTTTCTTCATGAAAGTTGATGTTGTTGACCTTACAATAGGCCATTTTTTTATGACTTAAATACATTGATTTCTTAAAGTTACATGATTATTTTCTCTTTTTCTTTCAGCTTAGAGAATTGTATGTACTTTTGAGTGAGAATTATGTGGAAGATGATGACAATATGTTTAGGTTTGATTATTCTCCTGAATTTCTTCAATGGTAAGTTTGTTTCTCCATAATTTAAGTCTTAAATTCACACAAAACTTTATAATGTTTATTTTTGTATAAACTTTTTTGGTGCAAGAAGTAGTGTGATCTCTATTCTTTTCCTCTTAAACATCTGAAATTTAAGTTGTACATATTTGAAATATCCAAGACAAATTATTTTTTAAAAACTTTTTTATAATCCAGGATCTGGCTAGAGTTCTGTACGAATATTTGAGTAAAGAGTTTCTTTCTAAAAAATACTTTGTAGGTTTCTTTTAAGTCTTTATTACTTTGTAGGTTTCTTTTAAGTCTTTATTACTTTGTAGGTTTCTTTTAAGTCTTTATTACTTTGTAGGTTTCTTTTAAGTCTTTATTACTTTGTAGGTTTCTTTTAAGTCTTTATTACTTTGTAGGTTTCTTTTAAGTCTTTATTACTTTGTAGGTTTCTTTTAAGTCTTTATTACTTTGTAGGTTTCTTTTTTAAGTCTTTATTACTTTGTAGGTTTCTTTTTAAGTCTTTATTACTTTGTAGGTTTTTTCTTTATTACTTTGTAGGTTTCTTTTAAGTCTTTATTACTTTGTTTTCTTTTAAGTCTTTATTACTTTGTAGGTTTCTTTTAAGTCTTTATTACTTTGTAGGTTTCTTTTAAGTCTTTATTACTTTGTAGGTTTCTTTTTAAGTCTTTATTACTTTGTAGGTTTCTTTTTAAGTCTTTATTACTTTGTAGGTTTCTTTTTAAGTCTTTATTACTTTGTAGGTTTCTTTTTTAAGTCTTTTATTAGGTTTGTAGGTTTCTTTTTCTTTTAAGTCTTTATTACTTTGTAGGTTTCTTTTAAGTCTTTATTACTTTGGTGGATATCGGCCATCTAGTATATTTTTCGGCTATGATGTGATCATGTATAGTCTCTTGGTCAGCAAACTTGTGATATATCTGTTAATCTTGGCTGGATTTGCATTATTATATCTCTACAGCATATAAACTTATTGTTTTGACAATATATAGATTTAGTGTTTTGATGACTGTTTTTTTATTATTATTATTATTTTACACCTTTCTTTTAATACAGCAAAAAAATCTTGCAAGTTGTATCTGAACCCCTTTACAGTCTGAGAATTACATAAAAGGGGTAATTAGTAACCTTATTTTCTCTACAGAGAATTTAGCACATTTTACACACTTGTATGTCTCAATAATACAGATGACTCTAGATGAGTCATCTTCTTAAGCAACATGAATTAAAAAAACCAATGAAAATGGCAGAACTTGCAGGCTTACCTTTATCCCACATGCAGCGAGAAAACAGTAACCTGCCAGAAACTTGGCAAAAGTTCCAGTTAACACTGAAACTGGTGTTCCAAGGACTCTTGAGAAATAAGGAGGAATCAATATAAGTAACTTACCTTCTCTGGCATGAAACGAAGAGAAATCTACAAATGTAAACCAATGTGATGTTAGATGAAAGAAACATTAATCTCACATTTCAAGCATTTAAAAGAAATACATAGTTAAAAATAAACCCAATCTTTGTTTAATACAATCCAATATTACAATACAGTGTACAGACATAGCATGCCTAGAGGTCAACTTCAGTTTCTTTCTGGTGGTGACGTGTATTCATATCACTTCAATGTATCAGCCAGCTGTAGTAATTCAGTCACTATAAAGTACTTTTTATTCACTGAAACAAGCCTGACCTAACTACTTGACAAGGCAGTCTGGTTTAGGGTGTTGGGTCCATAATTTTGTGATGTTTCAGTATTGAACCTTTTATGTAGGCTGGTTCATCCCAGTGATTCCAGTGTGACGTATTTATTCAAGCCACTCTCCTTGGATAATACTGATAGGGCCTGGGATTCTAAATCCTTCATAGTAGCAGTTCCAATCACCATGTAATGGTCACTAACTAGAAGTCAGCTGAGTATACCATGGACATAAGTGTCCATCTCTGTAGTACTTACAGAATGTATTTACTTCCATGAGAGGTTATCAGCCAAGGGTATTTTGGAGCAAAGACAATTTTTAACTATTTATCTTGTTTGGACTTTTGTTATCTTTATTGCCTTATTCACAACATTTTGGCTGTTGTATACTTTGGTCTGCTTCAGTTGATATAAACTTAATTTTTCAGTAACCATTTTTTTTACCAGAGCTCCTATTACAAGTTTTTGTTATTGTTGTTTTTCTCTAGCTCTCTGGATTACTAGTTCCTATATTGTGTTCATGTCTATGTTTAGCTAGCTTAGGAGGTTTTTGTAACCTAGCATATGTGCTAATACCATAAGTTTTTGTATTTTCCAGTGATGTTCTCTGTTATTTCAACTTCATTCTACAACTTCATTCTACAACTTCATTCACCCTTTTTCTCTCCAGATATACTCAGTCTTGCCTAATTTTTCTATTTCCCCTCATGTTACTGCCTTATGGTGTTCCTGCAGTCTTAAGGGGTTGGCCTGTTTCTCCTTTATATTGCATGCCACAGCAGCATAGGATGGCATACACATCCTTAATCATGTTCTCCTCTATGGGTAGTCTTAACTCAGAAGAGATGTCTGTGTAGTGTTGAATCACTCCTGTAGGTTGTCCTGATGTTATATGGACCACAGATCATTTGTATCTTTGCTGATAAGCCCTTTACATAGGATGGGCAGACTAAGGCTGTTTCTTAGTGTTGTCATCATCTTGTACCCTTCTATTCCAGTTTGTTGGGACTGCTGCCATGTACCCTTATACTGACCATTTCTTGTTTATGTGTCTCTGGGTTGCCACATGACTTTTGCTTGATGTTGTAGGCAGTGGATGATCCCCCCCTACTGTATGGGTAGTGGGAGTTGAAGTTGAGGTATTGTTTGGTGAATGTTGTGGTATATGGATGGCTTTTTTTTTTTTTTATTATTAAAGTCATGGCAGAAATATTTTTTATATTTATTCCCCCCATAACTAATTTTATGAAAATGCTAGAAATTTGATCATGTCAGGTTTAATGATTACAATAGTTAAACGCACAAGGCTTTGAGGAATGCAAATCGTGTTTGTTTTTTTTTTGTTTTTTTTTTTTTATTGGACCCCCCCCACACACACACACCTCTGAAAATCAGCTCTGAATTGTAACATACAAAACTCAAAGATATTATTTAATTTCAAATGCTTTTATTTGCTTTTAGTTGTTTTTATGAATATGGACAATATCTTATGAAAGCAAAAAATGTTTTCGATGAAAAATGAATTTTTAATATAATTATTGGTTATTTTTTAATTATAATAGATTTTGCATTTAAGTTGTTAAAATATTATAAAATTAGTTAAAAGCCACATCGAGTTTCCTAAGTGTCCTTATGAGATAGATCTTTTTTTTTTTTTTTTTTTTTTTTTAGCGTTGTAAATTGTATCATTTTGACTAATCAGAGGATCCGCAGTAATTAAATGTAATTTTGTGTTTATAATCGGACTGTAATTATAAAGTACGGAAGACCTACCAGAATACAATTAAGTTATGTTATTTGAGTTAAGCATTGTTCTCCTCTGTTAAGGCCTTTACTTTTGCGAAACACGTGTGGAGAAGTTAATTTGATTTTTCAATTTCAACTTGAAGGTTACCTACAAGTATGATCTTATGAAATTTATATGATCTTATTTTTATATTAATCTCAGTTATGACATTTTTTCCATAAATGAAATATCAACATTAATAATAAAATGAATGGAAATACAAATAACACAGTAAAATGTAATAAATGTACATAAAATTATAGTATTTTTTTATACACTTCTGATAAAATTCCATAAGAAAGGTACCTATAAATTAATTAGATACCTTTCTTATGAAATTTAATGTCACTCTTAACAGACTTATTTTAATTTCTTTATAATATATTTTCCATAAAGCATGGTAAACGTAAAGGTGAAAGCTAAGTACAAAAAACAAAAAAATTAGAGCGCTGAAAGTTTTCCTTAAAAATAACGAGGTAAATAATTTGTTCACTTAAATGTAAATAATTTCACTTTTCTTCCATAGAACAAATTATCCTCACGGAATCTGTCGATATGTCATTCATCACCTGTCAAGTTTATGACCTGCTTTGTTTTATTTTCAAATTACATCTTTTTGGTGCAGAAGCTAAGTTAAGATTGGTTCAAAATATTTTAAATAAACATAATTTCTGATTTTCTTAAAATGAGTTTTGAAAACAATGGTAATTGATATTAAAAGAATTTCAAATTTCAGTTTTTTTTATGAAATGGAAAAAAATGGTCAATTTTGCTGAATCAAAAAAAAAAAAGAAAAAAAAAGATTTTTAATGAAAATTTTGGACGTGTTAGGAATGATTTAAAAAAAAAATGTAAAAAAAAAAATACTTTGATCTTTCCTCTTAATAATAACATAAACATTTAGACGATAAAATTTTGTTTTTGTCAAGTTTGGCGTCTTTTTCTTCATGCTATGCTCTTTTTTTAGCGATCACGTGGAGGTACCTAAGTTAACAGTTATGCTAAATACTGGCTGAAGTTAGTTTTTTGCATTGTATCCAGAGGTTTCCATCAGTATGGATGCAATTTTCTAGCTGTGAGCATATAGTTAAAAGCTTGATCCAAGGTTTCTGAAAGCAGGTTAAGCATCTGTCACAGCATAACAAAAACTCAAGATTGCTTTCATATGGTTCTAATCATTCAGAATCATAATATTACCAAATAAAATGTTTTAAAACAATAGAAATCTTAGAGGTATTTATTGACAATATCAGTCATTTCAACCTGTTTTCCCTTATACCTCCAGTGTCATGGTGCAACAAAAATTTATCTGGTCCTTGATAAAATGCTGCAAACAGTGAAATTGAAAGAAAAAGACATTTATTGACTGATAATGATCATTTTATACCTTCTTTTCTTCACAGTGCACAAGACCCTCTTTTCTGTAGAATTAGTAGTATTTGGAACATTTAATAAAGCAATTGATCTTATGAAAATTGTTAAAATTTGATAGAATGAGTGAAGCTCTGTTTTGAACTAGCTGTATGGGGGTTCACAACCTCCAGGACAATAAATTTAGTTATTTAGTATAGTAGTTATTCAATCTTATAGGTAGGTTGTGAGACAGCAATTATTCCTGAAGTCCAGTAGTTTGCTCTCTTGGCTCTGCTCTGAAGTATCAACTAAGTTTACTTATTGAGTGGCTGTAAGTGAGACTTTCTTGTATAGTAATTGACCAAAAATTATGAACAAAGTGATTTTGAAAGCATAAAATGTAGATGTTTTTGAACAAAGATTTGAAATTTATCTATTCAGAATTGACATGTTCTGACAGTGCTTGATGGATATGATGATTCACAGCAAACATTTCAAACTCTTTACCGCGCTTCCTTTGAATGATTGTTGAAAGTTTAGGACAGTTTCCTATGACACAGAATGCGGATATCAATGCTTTTCTCTTTAAATCAACATAATAAATGGTACCATCATTTGTCTCTGTGAATTTTGAGGTAATGACCTTCAACAACTTTGTGCAGGAGGAAATGTATGCTAATACTCATCAGTGACTTCAGTTTCAGTATGAAAGACAGATGATGTTTTAGTAAGTAGTATGGATGGTCACCACCAGTTTTAATGACTGCAACATCACCTTCTTGCATATACTTTGAAGCTTCTGTTTCTACAAATATTTCACCCTATTCCTTATCTTCACCTTCATCCAGATCATAATCATCCTCTTCTTTGACTGAAGTTTTCTTTTTCTGCTTTATTTTTTTCTGTGAATGTGTGTGTAGTCATATTAATGAACTTCGGGTACTCTTTGAACTGCCCAAGTCTTTCACACTCTTTGAAAGAACCTCTCGAACAAGAACAACATCCACAGGAGCCATTTCTATAATAAATTGGCTTTGTTGCTACCAGGAATGTTTACAACTTGAATTAACAAAGTTCCAGGGATGAAATTATATTTCTGTAATTCTCCATTTCATCAGATGAAACACAGAAGAATAGCCAGTTCAGCATTGGTTTGTGACTCTCATAAGCTGACTTGAGAACCAGTTATTTATTAAAGAAGCCTGTCGACTCCTTCCTTTGCATCTCTGATGACCTGGTGCTCCCCACAGACAGCATGTGATTCAAATGACTTCGCCACACCACCATACTGTCTGACTTAGACTTCCCATGACTTGTTTCACAAAAGACACGAGTAGTCTTGACATTTCTTCTTGCCAAAGTACTAAATGCTCTAATGCATTTAAATTGAGAAGCACATCCATCATTGTATTCAATGTCATGATTGATGGACATACTTTCATCAGCATAATGTTGATGCAAGATCTCATTGCATTTTTTGACAAACAGCACATCATGCTTTTTATCATCCAAGAGAAACACTAAGTGATCCTCTTGGACATTCTCGCCAACCTTTCGCAAGACGACAATGGGGTATGCAGTCATGGTTTCCTGCACCCAATAAAGCGATTGAATCTCTTCAGGCATGAGGCAATTGTAGTTTTCCAAAAAATCATGTATTTTAAGAATGGTCTCTCATCAAGGTTGTTAACTAGGTTGTCATGTTTTGCTTGTATTTTCTACATTAAACTTGTGCATGACAAATTACTCCAACTTGACTTTCAATAAGTTCACTAAATCTGTCATTGTCATCATTTTGCTTAGTTGCAGTTTCTTTTTTTTCTTTGTCTTGAGGCATGTAGGTAACACATTCAAACTGGTTAACTTTCACTGTGTGCTCAGTGCAGTCCTCTTTGTCTTTAATGCAAGGATTATTGCACTTGAGTGATGTGATACCTAGGGCATCAATCTTTGAAAACAACTTACATGTGGAGCAGGTTCACATAATGCAACTGAGTTGTGATTGTAGCAGACATGAGGGCATCATTATCATGAAAGGGAATCTTCTTTCCACTTTTAGCAAACAGGTTGTTGTATGCTTTGTGAATGTAGTCTATATTTGTATGGTAAGTACAACAACCCTGCAACCGCTGGGCATAACGATGTAGGCAAATGTTTTTTGGTTGCAGTTTTTTAAATACCCTTTGACTTATTTCAATGTCTGGATGATTGTTTTTAAAAGATTGAAATGCATTCTTCAATGTCACCTCCATTACTTGAATTGGCACACGATGGACACCGAAATGATTCCTAACTATTCTAGTTCGGTTCTTGTATGACAGTTGCCTTGATATGTCATCACGATTTTAAAGGATTGATGGCCTTTTTTTGTTTTTCTGTTGGTGGTTTTGGTGTATTGGATTTTTGTGTTTTGTAATGTTTTATGTTCTTGATGTTCATATGTGATGATGCCTTTAAGGACTTCCAGCTCATTGAACAGTTTACTCTTCTGACATTCTTCCAGTCACCTCCTGCCTTGTTAACAATTTTTCCGATGACATGCACAATTTGAAATTTTGTCACGAGTTTTAGACATCCTTCACAAAATCAACCAATGGATTGTTCTCACTAGTAATATTATTAGCTACAGTTGCTTTTGATTCTGGTGAAAACTTTGCTTTTGATTCTGGTGAAAACTTTGCTTTTGATTTCCTTATTTGGTCAGTTTCTTTCTCCCAGTTCCTCTGCTGAAAGAGGATTGCTTTCCACTTTCCGTTTTCACGTATTTCTCCTCAAATTTTCAGAAGCACATTTTTCTGTTTTTTTTTTTTTTTTTTTTTTTTAGCAGTCCAGTGGATGACATAGGCTGTTTCATGCAGTTTGTTTTTGGTTGTGTAAATCTGGTTTTTCTCCTTGTTAATATTTCTGTTGAATTTCTTCCTAAAATGAGAATGGATAATATAGCTTCTAAGATAAAATCAGTTTATGTATTTCAATGTCACGGTGCAACGGTAATCATATACTGCTGAACAAAACATATTCCATACCTGAGTTATATAAGTTGATTTAAATGTTTATACTAAAGTTATCTAGCTTAGTAAGAAGATTTGCCATGATATTTCATCTAATTTGAGCAAAGTTAAAGAAGGTGGATTTTTCATTGTGCTGTGATGGAATATACAGCGAATACTCAATGGACCACAGAATCAAAACTATGGCTCCCCCTCAACTATAAATATTCATAGGAAAGCCAGGGGATAAGTTGAATTTGATAACTGACTAGCAAATATTAAGGTCTACTAAAAAGTCTGTAGAAACATCTAGAAGTTATTTTTTTAGTGAAATTTAAACAAAAAACATTTTAAAATGGTGAAAAATTGTGATAAATCTGAAAAAAATATGTTGGGGTGAGATTTTTTTTTTCTCTCTCTGATAGGCTTGATTTAATGTCCAATACTGAACTTGATCCATAAAGTAGGTTAGTTCTATCCTCTATGAACATTAAAATGAAATATATATATATAATTTTTTTTTAATTGTAATTTTCCAATAAGTTGTTGCACATTCAAATCAAAATTGCTGATAAAAGTTGTTTTTTAATCCATTTTTGTTGGAGTATTTTCAACCCTGTTGATCACATTAAAGAAATAAATGTTTTCAGAGAAAAGTTGTTATATCCTGTCATTTTCTTTTTTTATTTAGGTAAGAAGTATGTCTAAAATTGATTTTTGCTGAAATTTATTTTTATTTTATACTGCTCTTCTGTCCTTAAAATGTTAATTTTTAAGGAGTGTATATTTTATATATTGCATTCATTTTTAACATATAATCAGATTGTTTTATGGTTATTTGTATCCATATGTTAATTGTCACATGTAAAGTTTTTTTTTGTTTGTTTTTCTTTTAAATTGCCATAATGGAAGACCAAAAAAAGCTGTGCAAGCCATGTCATAACATTTATTCAATCAACGAGATCGTCTGCAAATACATACTTAAGATAATCAAAGAACAAATATTTCTTAGTTTCTTCCATATATGCTAACTTGATTTTTTTTTTTTTTTTTTTTTTTTTTTTTTTTTTATAAAATTACCATTATTATTTGATAACATTTTAGAAGTCTACATAGTATAATTAAAACCTTTATGAATTAAATCAATGACAATAAGTACTTCATGATGTAGTAATTTTTCAGGCAGGGTTTTTTTACTTTTTTTTTTTTTTTTTTTTTTTTTTGACAACCGCAGAAGTTTTCATTATATTTAAAAACAAAAAAATACTAAAAACTTTCCATACAATATTTTTATTTTGGCAGTTTTTATTTTTTCATAATTTAAATAAACTTAATTTATTCCAAGGCCTTTATAAAGATTTAAATATTTTACTATCCAAATAATGTTCTGATTTCATAATTTAAAAAAATGTATTTTGATTTAAAAAAACAATCAATTTCAGGGATTTTCTTACAAAATTTTCATGAATAAATGTATTTATAGATAAATCCTGAAAATGTATTTGAAATGTAATAATTTATTCTTTTTTTAATAAACATATAGTTTATCTATACATTTTACTTTATTTGTATAGGTAATTAATATTTTTAAGTGAAAACAAATCTTAAACATAATCCTGTCAGACACACAATTTTCATATCAGAATTTTCTGCAATGATATTTCTTTTTAATGGCCTAGATTATTACAATAAAATTAGTCACAACTTTTGGGTATTTATATTGACACATTGCCTTCAAATGTGCATGAGGTACCTACATGCATAGAAAACTTTAATAAAAGTCCTCTAATTTTAAATCATTTCTCACTTTCATGTATATAGAAGTTAAACTTAGGAATGTCCTCTGTAAATTTTAGCTTTATTTTAACAAATATTCAATATTAGTATTTTTTCAAATTTAATTGTATCTTGTTTAAATTATTTTTCTTTTCCAGGGCACTCCAACCTCCAGGTTGGGTAAAAGATTGGCACTGTGGTGTCAGAGTAGTAAAAAATGGTAAACTGGTAGGATTTATTAGTGCTGTACCAGCTCATATCAAAGTATATAATAAGTAAGTATAAACTTATTTATTTTTTATCCCAGTCTGTAACTCTAAGCACTAAAACGTTTTTACAAAGAAGTTGTATTAATAGGTATAAATTAATGAAATTGTATGGATATAGATTTTGCAATTACCGAAGAATTTACTTCCTGTATCTAAAATCGCAAACTCAAAATAATTGAGCAAGCAATACTTGCCATTTCTTTAAATTATGAAAAAGATTTTTTTTTTCTTATATGCTTGAACTTGAAATAAACATCTAAAACTGAACAAAACATCTTCAATGGAGATGTAATTCAAAATGAGAGCTTTTCTGTTGTGATTTGTAGAACTTTAAAAGAAAAATGTATAATAAAAAAAATATGAATGTCCTGTAATTTAGTTTAATATGTAATATTGACTTATGTTGCATTGAAATTGTTTTAATGTTAAATTAAGAATATAGTTTTATATATTGTTAAAAAATAATAAAACCTGAAATTTTTAAGTGTTTATTTATGTGAACAGTATTTTCAAATATAAAATAAAAAAAAAAACATGAGTAAAGTTACTAGTATCAATATGTGAAATTTTTTCTTCCTTTTCACTATTTTAAATTTTGAGTTTCTTTATGAATTTTTAATTAAATATTTTGTCTTTTATTTAGATTTAAATATATGGTAGAAATCAATTTCCTCTGTGTACATAAAAAGCTTAGGTCCAAAAGAGTTGCCCCAGTCTTAATTCGAGAGATAACAAGGAGAGTACATCAACGTGGCTTATTCCAGGCTGTCTACACTGCTGGGGTTGTCTTGCCCAAACCTATTGCTTGCAGCAGGTGAGTACATCTTATGACAAGTACAACTTGCACCATGCATTTACTTATTTTTTTCTTTAGAGTACTTTTTTTCGTAATACAAAACTACTTCAGAAATAAATATGACTGTAAACATTGTAAATGCAGTATAAATTCTTTAGAATGGGTTATTTTATTATTGAAATTGAATTATTCAGTTATTTTAGTTTTAAGTTGTAAATTCAAGTAGATATAAATTTTGACTTTCTAAAACACTTCTAAAAATCCAATAAGTGTTTTTTTTTTTTTTTTTTTTTTAAATGATTTTATTTATTATAATTTCAAATATAGTTTCTTTTGATCTTCTATTTTTATTGCTTTTTTATTAATATATTTGAAACTTTTATTAAATCTGTTATCATTGTTTTCTTGAGAGAAAATTCCACAAGTTTGTCTTGTAGGAATATATGAGAGGAACACAAATCTTATCCATTTCTATGAAATAATTCAGTATGAACAACTTATTCTATCATTACTTTTTCTTTTAAATTTTAACTGTTAAGAACAGTCTTAATGATTGTGATTTACCTTGTGTTGCATGAAAATAATTTTGATTTCATGTAAGCATAAAATAATTTATCATACAGTTTTATATATTGTTTTGATCTGATTCTCTTTATCTTTGGATCCTTATCTTGTTAAACCTTAGAAAATATTAGTTGTTAACAAGTTCTTGGCCCAATCCATTTCTCATAATTAGTATTCTAAAGTTTGGTCATTAAAATGATTTTTGTTGGTAGTGTTGGGACAAGAACTTCTTAGTACTTTGTCATACATGTATTTTTTTTTTTTTTATTATTATATACTATAGTTGGAATGCTTGTTAAAGATCTGAACATGCTCTCTTGTGCCTCAATTGCAAAACGTTTTTATGAAAATCGGCTTTCCAATTTTAAACTTCTTACATTGATATAAATGAAAAAAAAAAAAAGGTGGCATTATTTTGATAATGTAATGATCTTTTATGTTTTAGGTATTGGCATCGTTCATTGAATCCTCGGAAACTTATTGAAGTTAGGTTTTCTCATCTTGGGCGTAATATGACTATGCAGAGAACTTTGAAATTCTACAAACTTCCTGATGTAAGTAAACCTTCCTGTAGAAATTCGATTGCAGTTGGACATTATTAATCTGGAAAATTTATGAATAGAGCAATCCTGGATATTTTTATAAAACTAACTTAAAACTTTGACATCAATTAATGCTATGAACTGATTAATTAGGTGAATGATAACCCATAAATTCAAGAATTCATCATTTTAAAGATGGTTGTCACTTTAAATCCGTTTTTCATTGTTCTGTTTAAATTCCTCATTAAAATTTTGAAAGTTTTTCCTGGTTGAAGTTTAATTTTATCAGTAAATATAAATATATAAATCTAGATACCTCCATTCAATTTTTCGATAACTAAGGTTTAAAATGAATTTTTAAAAATGAAAAAGCATTCTTAAAGATTTTATTTTAGCTTTAATTGAAAGCTAAAGGATTAAATTTATTATTTCCAGTAAGTAAAATATTCTGGTGTATTTCAGATAAAAAATTATATAGATCAGAATGTCAAATTTTCGATTTTAAATTTCTTCCTAAAATAAATTATACATTTTTGACATGTTATTTGAGTAAAATTAGAAAATTTAAAGTTAAATTAATCTGATTTGAAACAAACATTACTTATTTATAGCATAAAAAAATTGTATCCTAACATTTCTTAACAATGTGTATGAATTTTCTTGTGACCTTATTCATGTTATCGATGTTAATGAGATGTTACGAAGTGATGACAGCTACTATGGATGACCAAAATTTATATAATTTTATGAAATGTAAGCGAACAAATTTTTTTGGTTTTTAACTAGTAATTTTTAAAATATTAACATTTTTTTTCAGCAAATTATGTAATATTTATTTTTTATTTAATACTTTTTTTTTAGTCTGGGTTTCGTTTCTTAGGTTCTTAATCTTATTTAACAACTTACTAACTTAAACAAAAAATTACTTCAATGAAATATGACCCAAACTAAAATAAATACCTAAAATAAAAATATTTAGTAAAAAAGTAATTAACAAAAATTAAAACTTAGAAATTTTGAAAGGACCTTTTGTAAACACTTTAACGATGTGAAACAGAACTGGATATTGAAGGGAAATAATTGCAGTGCCTCAGACAACAATCAAATCAAGTGACCTTTTTAAGGATTATTTCATGTATAGATTCCCCATAGATAGAAATTAGGAACGTTTTTTTCACTAAAAATTTTTTAAATATTCCGCTACAAATGACTGTTAATGAGTTTTACAAATTTCAATTCGTAAATTTACTTTTCACTTCACCATATCACTAAATTGCATGTTTAAAAGCAATGAAGAATTTTAATATACGATTTTTGAAGTATTAATATTATAAATAAATTTTTAAAAAGTGAAAAAAATTCTCGTAAAAATACATTATTCAACAAAAGTTTTTTCTTCAGACAATAACATCCTTAATATAACTTATTTACAAAAGCAAGTAAAAGCTTTTCTAATTAAACAATGTCAGTTTTTTTTTTTTTTTTTTTTTTTTTTTTTTTTTTTTACAATTCAGAGCAGATTTTTGATGAAACCAGTAACTGTTTTACAAAAAAAAAAAAAAAAATGTGATTTTACTTTCTCTAAAGAGTACTGTTTTTAACTAATAAAAAAAATCCCACTCTTAAAAATTTAATTTCTCGATTTCATGAAAATATGTAAGGGGGTGGAAACCTAAAAAAAAAAATTTCAAAAATTTCATTTGTGAATATTTCCTGAAAAATTCATTAAAATCCGACAATTATTTGAATTTTGCAAGAATTTCCAAATCATGTTTTTTCCTCGGGGAAAAGTGCAAAATAAAACAAACCTTTTTTTCTCTTTTTGAACACTGTCGTAAAAAAAAAAAAAAATTTCTAACCAAAATTTTCACTATGCTAGAAAGGAGTAAAAAAATTCAAAAAATAATAAAAAATACTTTGGTCTTTCCTCTTAATAATAACATAAATATTTTGATGACAAAACATTGTTTTCGTTGAGTTATGGGCCTTCTTTCATCATGCTATGCTGCTTTTTTTATGCGACGTAGTGGAGGTACCTATATAAATCAAATTCTAAATTAATGATGTCCAACTGTATTCTCAATATTTTTGCATTGCTTTAATTTAACCTATTTTAAATATATTAGATGAAAAATTATTCAAATTGTATAAGCCATGATTTTTAAATCTTTTTATTGATGATTACTGATACTTATAAAAGTGAATTCAAAATTTGAAAATTCTAATTAAAAAAACTTTGACTTGTGTAGTTGTTTGTTGGTGTCATGCAACATAAAATATCAAAGTTGAATTTTGAAATCAAGTCATTTTTTTTCTATATTTGGTTTGATCAAACTATTGTTAGAGAGAATATATTACTTAAAGACGTATCTAAATTAAAACCATTAACTTTTAAAAAGCATGAAATATTTTTATGAAATGCTTATATGCACTTTTATAAACTATGCTTTCAAATTTGTGCATTTATAACAAATTCTATCAAAGCCCTAATTGTGATAATTTGAATAAACCAAGTGAAATATTTTATCACTTTAAGTTTTTTCTTTTTAAAATACTTTGAAATTTTATATATGAAATGTGCCTTGAAAGTAAAATTTTTAAAGAAATTTTAAAGATCAGTTGAAAATATTGAAACTAAGTACTGAACACTTAGTCTTTCAATTTTTTTTGTTCTGTTAAAACCTTACAAAATGAAAATGACTGTTTTTAGTTGCCATTGTTGTTCTGTCATTGTTGAGATGCATACTCTTTCCAAATCTTTTGTAATTAAAAAAAAAAAAAAATTCTTCAGTTGCATTTCAGTTACCAAAAAAACAATTTGTTTTCAAGGAATTTAAACAAAAGTACAATGTCTTAGTAAGTAAAATTAACATCTAAATTGTATTGAAAATATTTTTTTCATTTACTGCAAATATACTTTTAATCAGAAACAAGTTCATTCTTTAAAATTTTACACAAAAATTTACAAATAAGTTTCTATTAGAAACTTTTTTAAAAATTTTAGTGTTTCCTCTTTGAGTTTATAATTGGTGACTGACTTGAAATGCAGCCTTATCAACTTTTAGATACCCTCTTTATTTTCATATTTGACTTAAAAAAATTATAATTCTCTACTTTGGTTATATTTGGGCCTATCATAAAATATCTCTACTCCTCCTTTCTATATGCATCTTCAGCAATACTTTCCATTCAGTATTTAATCTATCTTCTAGTTATATTTTATAGATAACAAAAACTCCAGGATTCCGGCCGTTAAAAGCAGATGATGTCCAACATGCATATCAGCTGGTTCTTCAGGTTAGTGGAATTTTTTTTATAATTGCATAATCTTTTAAATTATTTTTGGCAGAATTAAACCCTTATTACTGTTTTTTAACAAAACCAAATTGATTTCTTGCATTTATAAAATACCTGCAGTTGCTATAACATTTATATAAAAGTGAACAGAACTTTGATTCAAAAGCAATTAATTAGCATATATAACTATATCAAATAATTTGTATTCTTACTATTAACTAGTTCTCACTAAACTTTTAATATTAAACAATCCTTAATGGTTTCTCATGAAATTCATTTTGTTAAATCATACCAATTCAGCATGCTATTAATAGTCTTTAATTGATTTCTTTACCTAAAGTCTTTGTGAAATCCAGTCTGATTAGAAATGAATCAAGACAGTTTATGAACACTTCTGGTTTAAGATGTGTCAAATAATGTTAAGAATGCCATTGCCAATAAATTTTCCATAAAACTTTACAAAAAAGCAACATTTGCATTGCTCATGTCAGAAAAATCCAAAAGGACCACATGTACAATTATCAATATTGTTAGGTTCTATCTTTTGGAGAGAAGCAAGCTGAAAAAAAATGTTTCATAAGATATCTTTCATCTATAGCATAATAATGTAAAGGATTTGTATGCGTTGACAAATAGAAGTGACATCTGAAATTGCTTTTTTTTTTTTTTTTTTTTTAAACTTAATCAGTTTAATGAATTTGCCTAAAATGATTCCAATTTTTTCAAAATTGGAATTATTTCTAACAATAAATTTCAAACTTTTGAGTTTTGAATTTTCCAAATAACCTAAACTTATTTTTTAGGGTTAAATCTTGAACAGCTTTTTGAACAAATTTTAGAACTTATTTGAGATTTCAGAAATCGGTTTTTTAAAAAAAATTTTAATATTTGCATCTCATTCTATACATTTTAGATTCTTAAATACAAGATTAATTCAGAAAAAAATAATTTTTAAACAACTTAAGTTGAAATAACTAACATGTTTATGTAATATGACTAAATCTTCACAGAGCTACTCTAAAACAAATTTGCTCATTTTCTTTTCTTTTGCCTGGATTTTAAAAAGTTTTAATATTCTAACTTTTTCACACTAATCACTATGTAATGAAAATGTTAAAAGTTCATAATTTTGCTAATATTTTCTTCCCCAGCAAATTTTTATTTTGTAAGAAAATGAAATTATACAATTTATTTATTTTTAGTATCTACATAAATTTGACCTCTCACCTATCTTTAATGAAGAGGAATTTAGGCACTGGTTCCTGCCGCGACCAGGAATTGTTGATAGTTATGTGGTTGAGGTGAGTTTTGTTTATAAGAATATTCAATACAAATTCATTTTGTTTCTTGTCTTAAAATAACTATTTGTAGTTTAATCCCTCATGAATATAATTATACTAGTTATTTTTTGTCAATTAGATTTAATTTATTTGCATTTATAAAGAATTGTTTGGGAGAAAATTTATCACTGAACTAATCATTTCTGTGGAATTTTATTTTGTGAAATGAATTTAACACCAAAATGAGCATATTGATTTCTTGTATTAAAATGGTTTTGAATCTTTTATGCGAATCGAATATTTTATTTTTAATTGCTGAATTAGTAATAAAATTTATAGTATAAATTATTTTGATAAACCTTTTCATTAACTCTACTTGATAATTCTGTTCATTTAACTAAGATAAGAATGTCGGACAGTTCAATGAAAATTGTAGAATATATTTTATTACTTTTTGGAAACTCAAGGTATATTTCTCTTGAATTTCTGGGATGAATTACCATTATTTACATAAGTTATTCTCATCTTTATTGTTATCACAAAGTTTTGAGCACAAAAGCTTGAAGCAATCACTAAACTTCTGATGAAATGACATTTTTGAGGATACATGGCATGTTAACATTCTGATAGAGAACTCATTTCTCAGTTCATTGTATTGTGATCCTATTTCTTTTCAGAACAATGGTAAAATCACTGACTTTGTCAGCTTCTATACTTTGCCCTCCTCTGTTATGCATCATCCGGTCCACAAGACATTGAAGGCAGCTTATTCCTTTTATAATGTCAGTACAGAGACTCCATGGCTTGATCTGATGCAAGATGCACTTGTAGTGGCTAAAAATGTAAGTCTTCAGTAAATATTGCATGCTACTTCTTTTAACATGCCAAAGTGTGTGGAGAGTTCCAAACAAATATAAACTTTTCATAAGCTTTTCTTTCCATAATTTCTCTTATAAAAAAAAAAAAAAAATTACATTTTTCCACTAAGAAACAAATTAAAATGGTCTGATGCTATTTTTACTCTTGCCTAGAATATAATGTCCATTAACATTAATCATTTGTATGTGTTTTCTTCCATCTTTCCACATTATTTTGAAACATGATAAATATTTTTTAATATTTAAGCAGTACCTAAAATTACAATACCCCCCCAAAAATGGAAAAGCTTTCTTGAAGCTTTCATTTTAGCTTTAATTGAAAGGCTAAAGGATTAAATTTACTATTTCCAGTAAACAAAATACTCTGGTGTATTTCAAACAGAAAATTTTTTTTTTTTTTTCAGTAACATTGTCAAAGTCATCCATTTCTAAGATTTGTAAACACTGGTTCTCGGTTTTAAAAATCTTGCAAAATTAAAATATGCTTTTCTGAAACTTTATTTGAGGAGTATTAGCTCATTTAAAGCATAATTAATCTGATTTGAAACCTTATTTACTTTAAGTTTAAAATAATGCAGAAATTAATTTTTTTAACCAAACAGTAGCTGTGTTTTAACTGTGTTTGATGACAGATTGATTGTTCTACACAGATTTAATTTAAGAAAATGACATGAGCGCCTTTTTTTATATAATTTTTAAGTACTCAGTAATCTTAAAAATATTGAAAAATATTCTCCATAATCTAATGTTTTATTGAATTTTAGAAATTTTGTCTTTAAATTTGCTGTAGTTATTGCTCTTATGTGCTGATAATGTTGCATATGGCCTACAGTACTTACAAAATCAGCACATTTATACACTAATAAAAATAAATTCAAAGTTCTTTTAAAAATCATGGTGTGTGATGATTTTTTACTAAGCTTTTCCATTTATGATTCGTAAATATAGTTTTTGCTTAATAACAATCTCATCTAACAGGATTAAGGTAATGAAGAAATTTAAGTTTTGTAACTTTTATAAATTTCACTCCTAATTTCATAAGGAAAATAACATTTCTTAAAATTTTGTTTTGTTTTCTTCTCACTTGTTCACTCACACACTCTCATACATAACCACATACATAAGCCATCATTAAGTACAGTGTGTCTTGAATTTTGTAAACTTTCTAGGAAAAAAAACATTTACATTTTAAATCATTGTCATGTATTTTTTTTTTTTTTTTATTATTTTCAAATGAATAAATTAGAAATAAATCGCACATGTGTTAATCATACTGTCATTGGTGATAGTATACCAAGACAAGGAAAAACAAATTCGCCTTTTTTCCCTCCCTTTCTGAGGTATATTCTTACGCTTATGGTCTTCTGTACGAAAGGTACCCAGTATGAAAAATTACATTGAATCTTTTTAGTAGTGTGGCCTGCCTTGTGATGAGCCATAGATCATGTGGCCCACTGCTCAAAAAAGTTTGCTCATGCCTGCTCTAAACTGTCATGATAGAAGCAGTAGCTTCTGAACATAAATTTAAGCAAATTCTTCAGTTGATGCTACAGAAATATTATTAGAAAAAGTAATTAAATATGTTTACAATTAGCAATATTATTCTCATCTGATAATTGTTTTGACACAAAGATTTAAAAAAATGCATTTCATTATTTATTGATCTCTTAATGACTCCAGAAGGTTACACTATGACACTTGATATTGTCTTTAAATTTAGAGAAGGTTATAAATATTTTTCCTGTTTATGACTTACTACTGATGTAGTATCAACAGGGTTCATAGCCAACATGGAAGGCAGGGAAATCTGGAAATAGAAAAATAGTCACTTCTCTTCCTCCCTCCCTCAAGCAAATCAATTTTGGTTTAACCCTTTAAACCCTGACCTGATGAGTAAAGTATATGCACTTTCACATAGTGGTTGGTATACCAGCCACTCAGGTTCAAAGGGTTAATGTTGATCGGTAAATCGAATTTTCTAAAACAACTTGCATTGAATGACATGCTTATTATGGATTTTTAGTGTGAAAATGGTTTGAAAATAAATGCTAAATGTTATATATGCAATACATATATTTGTTTTTGGAGATTGATAACATTTGTATAAAAATGTCTGTGCATTCAATCCTGAATGGTGATGACCAAAGTAACGTGACCAAATCTTACATTTGGAGTACAGATGTTACATTACATTGGTTGTCTTTGTTTGGTTGTCTTTGTTTGGTTGTCTTTGTTTGGTTGTCTTTGTTTGGTTGTCTTTGTTTGGTTGTCTTTGTTTGGTTGTCTTTGTTTGGTTGTCTTTGTTTGGTTGTCTTTGTTTGGTTGTCTTTGTTTGGTTGTCTTTGTTTGGTTGTCTTTGTTTGGTTGTCTTTTGTTTGGTTGTCTTTGTTTGGTTGTCTTTGTTTGGTTGTCTTTGTTTGGTTGTCTTTGTTTGGTTGTCTTTGTTTGGTTGTCTTTGTTTGGTTGTCTTTGTTTGGTTGTCTTTGTTTGGTTGTCTTTGTTTGGTTGTCTTTGTTTGGTTGTCTTTGTTTGGTTGTCTTTGTTTGGTTGTCTTTGTTTGGTTGTATCATTTCACCTCAAGCATGGCAAAGCCATTAGGATGCAATATATGAAAAAAAAAAAAAAAAAACTACTATTAAGGAGAGAAGGCAATAAAAGAAGAATAATTAAGAGGACAGAAGATAATCATTGACATTGCATTTAAACTTTTGAAGATCAAAGTTGACTGGAAGAAGCCAGAAGAGTTCCACAAGATGATAGTTTATATTCTACAGTGATCTTTTTCAACAGTACTCTGGTGCAGCTATGTACTTACTACTGTCTGTTAGGTGATGTCTTAGTCAGAATTTCAATGGAATTTTACAGCCCTGAGTATGACAAACTACATCCAGCAGCAATTGGGAGGTTTTTATGAGTGTGGAATAACCTCTTAATTGCTGTTCCCAGGTCCACCTTGACCCAGGGTGGTAGCACTTGTTAGGGTTTCAGCTATGGACAATTAGTTTACCTCAACTGGGATCAAAACATGACGAAAGGATAGAAATAAATTTTTGTAATGAAGGTGTCAGAAATACATTTTCATGATTAAAATGTCACCAGCAATGCATTTTAGAAAATAAAAATTACCAACAATACGTTTTTGTAAAAGAAATTACTAATACTCCCAATGAAACTAGCTAAACTGGAATCTGTTTTTCACAAAACAATTTCACCCACGTTGGGACATTAAAATACTACTAAACTTAGAGTAAACAAGATGGATTAGAATCTAATTGTTCATATGAGGAAAACTTCACCTACATGCTGTCAGCTTATATGATAGACCTACAACCTATCTGCTTATAGCTAGGATGGTGCCTTCAGAAAAATAACTTTCTCTATACAATCTATCAAAATTAAAGAGACACATTTAAAGAACTAATAAAAAAATCATAATCCACAAACTGTTTACACAAATAACTATGCCTAAACTACTTGTCCATATAAAATACTTCTAAAATAGCAATATATAAAATGCACATTCATAAAAACTACAAATTTCCCTCAATGGGGACCACTTGCTTGCCATGGATGGTGACCCATGATATCTGGGGAGTTCTGGTGACTTGAGTGACTCCTGATCCAGTATAAAATGACCTGGAGCTTCTGCAACATAGCATTTTGGTCTCAACCTGGGATGAGCAGGTGGATGGAATAGCCCAATCCAATCCAATCGGCTAGTCACATAATGGCAAGTGCTAGTTGGGATGAAAGAGAATGGCTAATAGACAACATAATTCACTTAGAAACTTTAATTAGAGGCGCCTTTTTTCTTTGATCTAGAAAAGACCTGTGAGGCAACATGAGACATTGAATAATGAAAGTCCTATACAATCTGGGATTAAAGGGCAGATTACCCAATTTGATAATTTTTTTTTTTTTTTTTTTTTTCAGAAGTTTAAAACTTTGGGTAGGATCAACACTCTTGGACTCAAAAATCCAAGGAGAAGTTCCACAAGATTGCATCCTGTCTCTTTTTAATATAAAAATTAACAACATTGTTAATTGTTTGACTCAAGGAGTCGATCTCTCATATGTAGGCAACCTTTTGATCTGCTACAGCTCAAAAAATATGCATACTGCAGAATAACTACAAGTTGCCTAAATAAATTAAACTGATGGACTGTCAAAAACGGTTTCAAATTCTCCCCAAACAAAACAGTGTATCCATTTCTGCAATCTGAAGAAAATGCATAATAATCCAACTCTTAAACTTGAAGGAACAGAAATTGAAATGACTGACCAACATAAATTTCAAGGAATCTTTTTTGATAAAAAAAACTTACTTTCATCCCCCACTTAAAATACATAAAACAGAAATGCTTCAAAGCATTACAATTACTACGGGTCGTGGCTAACACTGACTGTGCAGCAGATCGCATATCACTCTAAAATTGTATAGAACTCTGATAAGAACTAAATTGGACTACAGTTGTTTCACATGTGGGTTCCCCTGGAAATTCTATCTAAAAAGCCCTTGACCTCATCCACCATGCCTGATTAAGACTGGCTCTGGGTGTCTTCAAAATATTATCCATAGAAAGTTTACACACTGAAGTCCATGAGGCACCATTAAAATTGAGATGAGAAAAACCGGCATTACAATATTATCTAAAACACAGATCCTGCCCAACTAACCCTGCCTACCTCTGTACTTTCAATCCTAAATACAAAACCCTATTTGATAAAAAAGAAAATGCTATCAAACATTTTTTGCCTTTACATGAAAAATCTCATCAACAAAACAAATAAATCCAACCCCTCCACCACCTCCAAAAACCCACCCTGGTTAATGAAATACCCTATGATTCTGCCAAATCTTACTAAATACCCTAAAATTAATTTTAACTTAACTGATTACATTGAATAAATCCATAATGTTCTACAAGGTCACCCACATCATAAGCATATATACACTGATGGCTCTAAAATCTTGGACAGAGTTGGATGCTCTGCTAACCTTAACAATATAATGCAGAAAAGATTGCTTGACAAATCCTCAATCTTCAGTGCAAAAGCCTCACCCATACATTTGGCTTTAGATATTCTAGAATCCAGTGGGTCAGATAGATTCATCATCATCTCAGATTAACTATCCGTACTCACAGCTCTGGAGAATAAATTATTAAATAGGATTGACTATATTTATAAGGAAAAAGATACTGTAATAGTTCTATGCTGGATACTGAGCCATATTGGCATACAAGGAAATGAAAAAGCTGAACATGGCCCTCTCAAATGTAAAGGTGCCACACACCGACTTCTGACCCACCATAAACAGGACCATTAAAGAAAAATGGCAACAATTATGGAACAACTGTGTAAACGATAAACATCTCAACATCCAACCAATCATCAGTGAAAGATGGTCAAGAAAGAGAAATAAGGTGGTTCCAGCCAGACATAACCCACTAACATCTACTAAAAAAATGAGGAACTGCCAATATGTCCCATACCAGGAACCATATAGCATTAAACACATTTGTCTAAATTACTGTAACTTCCAGCAAACCCAAAACGAGCTCTACAAATTAGATAACTTAAAGGATCTATTTGAAAATACTGATCCAAGTAACATCATAAATTTTATTAAAAAAATTGGGCTCTACAGAAAAAAATACATAAAAAAAAAATCTGTTTACTTACATTGTTTTGTAACCAATTTTTGAAGGGAAAATTATTACCAGCAATATATTTGACTCTCGACAAAATCCCCCTTTACAAAATATGTCAATGAAACCTGATCTATAAAGTAATTCCTTACAAAGAATTCATACTCTATTCATAAGAACCTATTCAAAATTTTTGTTGGGATTAAATAAACCTTTGAGCTTGATATGCTGTTAAACTAAATACACCAAACCAAATCAATGGAATTTTATTCAACGATTAGGTTGGAAACTCTGATCAAGTGTATATTGTTGGAAAATCAAAGGGTGTAGTCTCACAGTGCTGGTTCAAGCTGTGGTGGGTGCTATATTAAGGAAAAAAATATCTTCATGATGAAAAATAAGATGAGATTCATAGGGTTAATCTTCAATTAGCTCTTGGTACAACAAAAATTATCTCTTCCTGCATTGATCTCTATAGTGGCATTGGGTCTTGTCTAAACTTCTGGAGGAGCTGGATTCAAAGCCTTGGAATCAAGAAATCTGGTGGCAGCTGATGTGGATTTCAGAGGCACTCAATACGGGGTCTCAACCCAAAGTCTCTGAGCTCTCCAAAGTCATCTGCTTATATGCACTTCAGCCTAAAACTGGCGATGGGCCAAAGGGTTTTGGAGATTCAGTGATTCCCCAAATTTTATTAATCTGAATAAAGGTTTTCTTGGTTCCTTATTTCTACTTTCTTAATCAACTTTTCAAATTTGGAGAATTATCCACCTTCTTTGGGAGTAGTCACGAGGATTGTTCCTCTCTTAACTTCAACCACCTTCACTTCACATCTTGCACTCTTCTCCATACAGGCAGGGCTAAATTCTGCCCCTTTCTCCTTCCTTCTCAGTGTTTTAACTCTGCCCACTTCTCAGGGCTGGCATAACTGTTTTTGTGACAAATCTAATTTTTAAAGTGCATAGGAGAAAGGGCATAGTTTATTCTTATTAATTTCAATTCTCTCACTTCCTTTCCTGGACCCACCTGTCCAGTGAAAACACAAAGCAGACCAACTTCTCATTTTAACTTTCTGAGTGAGAAAAAATTTTTTCTCAATTTTGTTAATGAAAATGTTTGTTTACCTAAATTCTCAACAAAGAGACATGCTGTTTTCCATCTTTGGGCCAGTTGCCATCTTAGCAAAAACATGAACCAGATCATCTGCCTGTTCTGACAGATCAATTTTCATAATCCTAACCCTCACAGTGGGTTCATTCTCTGTTTTCACTTCTGAATTCATTTTTGCTAATGAAAATATAATTCCTGTATGCTTTTCTTTTTGCCAATGACGTGTTTTTCTTATTTCCCAAGAAAGAGATAAAACCATTTCCCAAAAATATTTAGCCTGAAAAGAAAATATCTGATGTATTTTCATTCAAAGATAGAATTCAATTTGTTTGAACATGAAAAATTTCTTATTGACTACCTTTTGAATAGCAGATTTTGTTAGGTACAGCCATTGTAGTTCTGATTATTTGTAATCTTTTCTATTGTCAGATGGGTTTCGATGTCTTTAATGCACTTGATCTTATGCACAACCGTGAATTTTTGGAAAAGTTGAAATTTGGAATTGGAGATGGCAACCTACAATATTATCTTTACAATTGGAAATGTACACCTATGGAGGCCCACCAGGTTAGTTACTTTATGAATTTATTTTAAGAATGTTATCTGTTAAATATGTTATTAATTATTTAGTATTGTCTCTAATCTGGATAGAAAAAGATTTTTATTTCATGGACAGTAAAAATAATGTTCATTTTCTTTTCATTTCACTTAAGCATGAAAAAATTTGGACATCCAGATGTTTTGTTGTACCAACAATGGTTAATAAATATTTTATAAAATTTCAGAAGGTAAATTCAGTCCATTTTAAACTGAGTGGGGATTTATGCATATTTGTAAGTGATTGTGTTCTCTCGGAGCTTACGACCACATCACGTTGAAATATTGGTTCCCATACAATCACCAACGTTAAGCAATGCCAAGCCTGGTCAGTACCTTGATGAGTGACTGCTTGGGAATACCAGATGCTGTAAGTTTGGATGTGTAGATGGTGTAGTGGATAATGGCTTGGAATTGTTAATCGGATAACAGTTCCAATTCCCATTAGGCTCATTATATTCACTTATGCACAAATACCCTTCTTCTTCTCACCCCAACTTTTATTACTAAATCATTATTATTATTTAAAACAAAATTCTTACCATCTAAGATATATTTTCTGGCCTTAAATAACCTGCAAAGTGTTGATAAGCTGTAGAAGACCAATCAACATTCTCTCTGATTTAATCTTGGTATAATATATATTTTTATCAATGGGAAACTTTTAGCACTAAAACTGAGTAAATTTTGTTAAAAAAAAAAACATTTGTTTTACTGTTCAAATGCTTATATGGTGTAATTATTTTGACATAATTCTGTATTGTTTCAGGTTGGATTAGTTCTACAGTGAACCAAGGTCTGGGGTTGACAGACCAACTGCGTTCCTGTCTGCAGTGAAGGTGTGCTGTTCTCCAGTGGCTGACTGGTTGGCTGCTCACAGCAGACTGCTGGACTGCCATAGATGGTTAAATGGATGGATTAATATGTTTGCATTTTTTTTTTTAAAAAGAAAATGCAATTATGGATGAGCTGATCTATTTCCAGTACTAAGAAAAAAATTCTTTAAAAATGAGAGAGAAAGACTGTGTACAAGAGTGTGGAGGAATCACTAATGCTTTTCAATTTTGGTCTGCTCATTCTCAAACCACTTTCACCTCTGCCATTGTAAGCCAAAGGAAAAGCAAATACTGTTTGGCATTGGTAACGGGTGGCTGACAAAATAGACGTGATGGCCATTAGCAGTTAAAACCTTCCCCCTCTTTTCAGAAAAGCCATTAAAAAAAATATATATTAAAATATATATTTAAAGACAAAGCAAAAAGCTGTTTACTATGTTAACAGGATATTGAGACTTGGTTTTTGAATTTTTTTTTTTTTAATCATTTTATGAACCCCAAACAGATGGCCAAGTATTTCTAAAGCAGATAACACAATCAATTAGATGCATTTCTATCGAATTTCTTTTTAAGAACTCTCTCTAGTAATTTTTTTCCTCTCTTCCTGTTTCATAAAGTAAACAGATTTACTCTCATTATGTCTTTTGTTGATTTTTTTTTTTTTTTTTTTTTTTTTTTTTGCTGTTGGGGTGTTTTTTTTTTATTTTATTTTTATATTTATTTATTTTTTTAAAGAAACAGTTCTCATCTTTTTTTTTTTTTTTTTTATATATATATATATATATATATATATATATATATATATATCTCTTGCTAGATTCCATCCTTCTATAAATGAAATTTGTTCATTGCCTTGTGGTGAATGTCTTAGAAATATTTGTAATAACACCACTTTATGCTACTTGCACGTTTAATCAAATTCTACCCCCTCACTTCAACCTTTCTCTTCATGAGACATGAATATCAGTTTCTTAGGCTAACTAATCTTTTGAGTTTATTTTATTACTGTTGTATGTAATACCCAATATATGGTTTATCTCAGGCAGTACAATGTGTTTGTATGAAATTGTGCCTGATAAATGTACACTAGATGACTGCATCTAATTGAGATTCTACAAGAAGGCGTTCACTTTGTTCAACTTCATTTATAAGGCCATTTTGTTAACGAAAACAATATTATGTCCAGTTTTTTCTTTTTTCTTTAAGCTAATTTTATTTGCTGGGTATAATTGCAAACTTTTTTCACAACACTACTTTTTTAGTTCAGTTACTCTTTGGGGAATAATCTGGACAATATTAATGCCTTTTGTTTTTTTATTTGCTTTTATTACAGCATTTTTCTGCCTTCTTACCTATCTGAAGTTATAACATTGCCTATACTCTTGTGTACATTATATTTCTAAGTAATCTCAGTAAGGTAATAATAAAAACCACATAAGTTTAGTTTCTCATGGAAATAGTAAGCTTGCTAAGGTTTACTATTATGGTCCTACCTCTTGTTTGTCACTGCCACCAACACAACAATGCAGCAACTCTTACTTCCAGTACTTGATTAGAGCTTCCTCTTAATTCCCCCATGGCTTCATTAATGTTCTTATTACAGATCTCTGCAACATGAATGTTTTCTGGAATAATGCTGTATTTGAAATGTAAGGTAGGCTCATATTTAGAGATTCTTGAATAAGGTAGATCAATGAATCTCTACATTAATACCTCTCTTTATAGCACATAGCATTTGGGGTGCAAAATGTATGGGATCTAATAATAAAAAATAACAAAAAAAATAATAATTTCTCTGACTTTTGGTGGGTATAAAATTTTTAATGTTTTTATTTACTAGTTTTAAAAAAAATCCTTATTTTGGGAGGATTTTTTTCCTTTGAGTGGGTGGGAGCGATTGATATTTCATCCTGAAAAATTAGTTTTTCTCTTTTTCTGGTCCATCCCAAATAAAAAAAAAAAAAAAAAATGTAACCTTTCCTCTTTACTTCCTTCCTTTTTAAAAATATTTTAATATCTTAAAGTAATGACACCAAATTTATAACTTTTGGTGTTTGCTTATAACTAATATTACTAAAGCTTAATAAAAAAAAAAAAAAAACTTACATGTAAGTTAATTTAAATTCAATTACACAAAACTAAAGTTTAAACTATGACCAAATTATTGCTGATTTACAAGGTAATGTATACTTCTCTTCTTTCCTTGCAGAGTTTAATATACACTTTGAATTCCTTACCTTTTTTATTTATTTTTTCTTATGTTCCTTGGCTTTGCTTTATTCTTGGCCTCTCCACCTCCCCGTCTTTCTTTGATGTCAGCACTGTTTTTTTTTTTTTTTTTTTTTTTCTTGAGTATTATGAGGCTGACTCATTGAAACTGTTATGACTCTTTCCAGGTTTTAAATCTCTAACCATTCACTGAATTGATATTTATTTTTAAAAAAGTAGTAAATAAATTCAATTTTCCATGAAATAGTCTTTTTTTTTTTTTCTTTATTATCTGATAAAATTTGATTTCCCTTCATTTTGAGAGGTATAATTCTTAATGATATTATATTTTGCTTACCAGAATGTTCATTCACAAATTGTTTCACTATCATCCATTAAAAATTCTATCTGAAAACATTGACACTTGTTTTTGCAGTGCAAATAGACAAGAATTTCTAACAGTTCATTGATTTTTATTGTGATTTTAGTGAAATATGATAACTAATATTATGCAAATGCATTTTTATTTTGAAACGAATAAAATAAATCAATTATTACTCAAAATGTATTCTGAATAATATACAGTTACTAATTTAATTCTGTTGCTTCAAATTAAAATCCAGCACTGAACCACAAATTTTAATGATGTCGTTGTCTCCCCTTTGGGAAAAATCTAGTAACTTTCCATTTTATATACTTGTAAAACTGAAGGATAAATTAACTAAAAACAGTTCTTAATTATCATTTATCATTTAATACAAATACAAAATGATTATAAGTGTCTAAATATTTATTGCTATAATTACAAATCAAAAGAAAATGAATAGTTGAAGCATGATGTTAAAAAATTAAACTGATTTATTTTTCATTGGTAAAATTGTCTACTTTCAATGTTAGTGATTTTTATATATATATATATATATATATATATATATAATATATATATATATATATATATAAAGTTGTAGCCTCTGTTTTATGTGTTATTGAATTCCTGCTAGATTTTGGAGTTAGACCCCATAAATATATTATTTATATATATATATATATATATATATATATATATATATATATATATATATATCCTGAAACATTACTCAGGGTACTTGGATAAGTCTTTCATTTTGATCAAAGGGGATCCGGGGTGTGAGGGGGGTATTGAAATATCTTTTTTTTTCTTTGATTTAAATTAAATTTTAAATTTGAACAAGGGAATGACTCCTATCCAAAATATAGGAGAAAGCCAGAAGATGGAGGTCACATTGTCAAGATCATTGAGTAATATTGAAATGCATCATTTTTCTCCACAAATTATAGCAGTTTGTAATTCATCCCTGTTTTCAAACAATTTTTTTTTCCAACAAATTAATGTAAGAAATATGCTTTTCTATATTAATTTTTGCCTAGTATTTCTTTCATCTAGTTTCTGTTGCATTTTATTGCAATTTTCAGACTACTGTTACAAGGTGATTAGTATGCAGTGTGGATGAGAAATAAAAATTATGGCCTAATCAGTAAAGCATCTACCCAAGATAAACAAGCTTCCTGGGGAAAAAGGTCTAACATTATGGCTGAGTGATCCCAATTGCAGCAACCAAATGGAGCACTAGAAATGACAGATGAAAAACTACTCCACCAACATTGTTTTTTTAAATCTGAAGATGTCCCAAAAACTTGGTAATCTTAAGTTGGCCATGTGTTAGACAAAATTACAGTTGATGGATATTCAAGATTAATCAAAGTTTTTAAAATAAGGAAGGAAACTAGAATACCTTAACAAAATGTTTTATTTTAGCTGTTGTTTCATCTAGTGTTGTCCTTTTCACAATTCTAATGCTTGACAGCAGTATGCTGCTTCAGTAGGCTTCCCACTGTCTCTTTTCTCTGGTAGCACTTAATTGGAATTCAAAGTGCATCACACACTTATATACATGGAAGTCAATTCTCTGGCTTGTCACCAATGATGTATTTGTAAGATTTTACCATTAGTTTATATTCTCAAGGGTCTCTTTTAAAACATGGCTAGTGAGACTGAATTTTGATCACCTACTTCCAAAAATCATATTCCTATAAAACCACCACCAAATATGCCTTCATATTGACAAGTGGCATAGCCCATTGATTTTGACCAGATTTTTTTTTCTTTAGCCTTTTCCTCCAAAATTCTACCTGAGAAAACATGGCAGAAAATGAGCAAGTATTTTCTGTCTTTCCTCTAGGGTAACCAATATCCTCCTAATCATCTTTAGGTCATCTTCAGTTATACTTAAAAAAAGAATTTAGTGCCTTCCCAACACTGGATCTTACCACATACTCCACTTCTCCATAACAACCTTAATTCACATAGATAATTCTGCATCTACCCATATATTATTTGTCAATACTAAATTTTCTTGTTAGAAGTTCAATAAGTTCTTCAGCATTTTTGCTGCTTAATATTTCACTTCACAAACTCTTCAGTTATATGATTGCAAGTCAATCATATACATTATTAACCACTTAGACCTTGTTATTGTTACTTCACTGACTTTCTTGAAAATGATACTCTCTGCATGGTTTTAGACTATTCCAAGCATCCCAAGTAGTATTAGTACTTTTGAATTAATAATAGTATCACAAATACTTTAGGTTAGGCTATAATAATCCTTTCTATCCAGTTACTATTTGATCTACTTAATTACTTATTTTCAGAGTAATTCTACTGCTTAGTTTATTGCAACTCCTGTCACCGCCACCAACTCTTGTTCTTTCTTATCTGGACCCTTCCTTTATTTCTTAACATTCCTCTTAGCCTATGTTTCTGAGATACTACTTCCTCTTCCTGTTTCTTTCTCTATCATCCTCTTTTTGAGTTCCATTAGTGAGAGCCAATCCTCAGAAACTGGTCCTACTGCATATATACTTATTTTCTTCTGATGAATTTTCTTTTTTCTCACTTCCAGACTCCTTTTAGTCTGTCTTTATATCCTTGACTTATTGGTCTATTTATCTTTAACCCACTTCATTCTTGCATTACTCCAGGGTTTTCCACTTTTTCTCCTTTAACACAGTAACTAGAAAGTTTGATATTCACTCACATCCAGAATAGTTTTACACAAAGCTTGAGATCTACTGTACCCCACAGCTGAAACAGCATTCAAACACCAATGCTCCCTATGATTACCACCCATCTGTCATCTAGTAAGAAATGTCTCTCTCTTTCACCTTATTCTGAATTGATTAGACAGTTGTGTGATCACATACTGAAACAATCATATCTATTCCCTCTCACTAGTGGTTATCTTTGAGGTACTTCTTAATCTATTCCTTTTCAATCTTTTGCATCATTTTCATTTCTGATAATGGGATCTCATTCTACTGAGCTGGCTCAAGAGCAGTCACTGGTCTTCCTTAGATCATTTGTCCTCCTCTTTTGCAGATTAATTCTAGTTTGGTACTTAAGCCTTTCTTTTTCTGGTTAACTTGCAATTTGGTCAATATTGTCCTTTTGATCTGTTTTTGTTGTATGATTGGGAGGTGGGGAAATTGCTGCTAATTTCACATTAGCATGTATTTTAACCTTCCCTGTGATTTGATCCCAAATTACAAAGCTGACCAAACCCGTTTGCTCCACTCTCATATATGGGCTTCATTTATGGTTCACTTTTTCCTTGCCTATTCTTTATCTTATAGTATGTTTGGTTATCTCTAGTCTTACTTCCTGCTGACACTTATAATGAAAACAGTGTTCCCTTCAGTCAATGTCACTCAAAACTGAAAACATTTCACCTTGATGTTGATGGTAAGGAGAGGTGATTACATAAGTTATGTGAATCTTATTCAGTACCTGCGTCATTGTCTGTAACCAATTGTAAAGAAATGTCATATCAAGACTTTTACTTAGTATAAATGATACTACACACGTTTGGCCAATGTACAATGCTTTCAAAATGTATGTATGTATGTGCGTGCGTTCTGATACAATTACACTTTTTTCTTTTCAAGAGACCAGAAATATTTTAATGTTTTAACAATTCCTATGTTTCTCATTTTCTAATGGCATTGCCTTAACATTCTTATCTGCAGACCCTCTTGATAGGTATAATCTCATTCTAGGTTCCTCATCTCTATTAGAGAATAAAACAATCTTGAAGTTATTATTCACTAGTGTATGATTCTTATCCATGTCTTGCTTCTATATGTTTGCAGTATAAATTTCACTGCTGGTCTGTGTTATTCCTCTGTCAACTGCAGCATTTCTGTATCACCTTTTTTCTTACCTCATCTGGGTTAGGTCAATCCTCTAAGTAATTAGGAGTTAATTACATTTATCTGACACACCTTATTATCTATCTCAGATTTAACTATTTCTGATTATTGGTTCCAAGTTCTGGGGGATATGTGACTGGATTTTTTACATTTTGTCCACTTTGTCTCTATCAAATATTGTAGGGGGCTTGCAATGCATCTTTATTGTAAATGCAATACCACTTAACTAATAATTCAGCTTTTGGAGCACATATGCATGCTCCTCCTCTGTCACAGACCAGTTCTTTTGAGTCCAATAGAGTTTATGGGACAGGAGATCAGCATCTCTTCTGGAATTCCAAACATCTATTTAGTGATTTCTGGACTTGTCACTTGCATCTGTATACAGGGTCATCAGCCTACTTAATCTTAGATAAGTCAACAAGAGGGTTGCTGTCAGGTGCTCCTTCATTATACTGAAGAAATATTGTTAATCTTTAGTCTATCTAAACCTTGCATACTCTTTTGTTAAATTTATGGGGCATGTGACAATTCTTGAAAAGACCTGTATAAAACTGTTGCAATTGCTATTATAAACCCCCTGACCTCTCACACTGAGGCTTGGGCATGATCCTAATTACTTCCAACTTGTTACCCTTTATGATAAATATTTACATTTCTCTTTGAGGAATTGGAATTTTGGTAATTTTAACCTGTCATCTTTATTTTGTTGAATACGGCTTGCAAATGCTGAAAATATTCCTCCACTTTGGTTTTGAGAAAACCAAGAGATCGTCTAATTAAACCAAAGCACTTTTCCAACCAATTCTATACTATTAGACTCCAAGTACATTAGCAAACCTGAAAGACATTATTCTATTGATACAATCCCACATTACATGAAAAGGCAGTCGTTAGTTGCCTTTTTAAATATACCTGCTTGTATTCAAATTGAGAGTAGATAAACAGTTTGCCCTTCCTCACAGTCAAATGGTAACATCTAGGCCAAGAATTTTGTGATGTTATTTATCTCCCTCTTTATTATCCTTACTGAAAAGTTCCAGATGGTATAGAGTATTTATTTTTTATTATTATTTTAGACTTCATCATCTCTGGAGTGTTCTCTTTTTGTGTATTGGCATTTGATTCAGTCTTTATTGACTGGTGTTAATATGTATCAATTCTCTATTGTCTGGGTTCTACCCAATTATCTGAATTGAGACACTATTACTTTATTTTTCTTCAACAGTTACACCAATTTTTTTTCTTATATCTGTCTGAAGAAATTTCTCACTTCTTGATGCCAATCTTGCTTATTTACTCTACCCAGCTCTGTGTGGGATAACTCTCAATGGTTTGTTAGTGAATATACCTAATAATTGGCAATTGAGCAGTATCATTTTCCTGGATGGCTGTTTTCTGCAGTGCCAGCTCTTCAGTTTCTAAACAAAATTATCAGCTGGATTTATTAACACCCTCTCCCTTCCCATCAGGTGTTTAATCTTCCACTATAGGACACAGCAGTATGGAGAAATAGCATAATGACTTTCTCTGATAATGGTGCTATGTCTTCAACAGGTTCTGTTCCCAGTGGGTATCACTTCAGTTGTGATTTTCAATAGTTGTGGATCAAAACCAATCTATGCTCTTTTTTTTTCCAAACCACTCCAACTTCAGAGACATACAGTTTTTGTAAAGTATCAATTTCTTTAACTTTGACTAGCAATGCTATCATTCTGGTCACCTCTATCTTCTTGTTAGCTTGTGTTAGTCAAACCATTCATTCTAAGTCCCTTGAATTTCATCATGCTGCATCTCTTCTATCAATCAATGCACATATTATCTCTGATACTTGAGTGAAGATTTCATACACAGTTGCCTTTTTCTTCTTCCATTTTTCTTTGTCTGCTTGTCATATCTCTCTTGGGAGTGGCTTCCTCCCTTTCATTTTTTTCTCACTCAGCAGCAGCCAAGCTTTCTCCTCATTACTGTATACCATTCTGTCCTTGATTTCTTTCAGTATATAAATTTCTCTTTTGCATGATTTTATCATCTCAAGCTTCACCGGACAACATCTTAGTTTAACATCTATTTTGCCTACCAAACTCTGATCTTTTTCTATTTGTAACCCTTCTATGCTGGGTTTCTCTTTTCACACTTTTTATTTTTCAGAGGAAATTTCATGTGGCTGTTGCTACCACAATTTCAATACATAATTTGCCTAAAATTCCCTCTGCAATTCTTTGCCTTCAAACAAGCCCAACATCTAATGGTTTCATTATTCTCAGATTTTCATTATCCATCTCTAATGTATGTTTTTTTCTCTCACTCGCACATACACACTTATTTGATCCACTTTCCTCCTCACTTCTCAGATGGGTTTAAAGCTATCTTGGGGACACTTTCCTTACCCTGGTCTAAGGAGTAACTTTCTTTATAAAATGCACAATACTTCTCTTTCTTCCTTACCCTGTTACACTTTCCACACCTTACAAAGCTCAATCATACAGTTTTGGAGGTAAGCCTTCTCTCTATGCCCATGGCATTTGCATTTCAACACACAAAGCCAAACACTTCCCAGTTTGAGCTCATACCATACAACCACTAAATATAAACATGTCTTACCTACTGCCTCTTTTCCTTTTGTTCAGAACAGTTTTAATTTCACAAACCCACTCTTCCCAGACCCATAATCCTGCCAGTTTGCCTTCCTTCCTGCCTCATGTGGCCACAATTTTACAGCTTTCCCAACTTCTTGCTCCTTTGATTGCTTTGTCTAGTTTCCTGGGTGGGATCCTTAGTTACATAATGCCAAATGTGTTACATTTGATGTGTGTGTGTGTGTGCATGTCTCTCTCTCTCTCTCTCTCTCTACTACTTAAGTCTTTTCTCCTCTCTGCTTTACATTTCTAATATAAGTATAACACTATAGCTTTGAGGTCTGGCCAGTTTTCCTGACCACTAAATGTAATACTGAATATTGTATCTTTCTATTGTAATCTCCCCATTAAGAATCCTTGGTTATGGCACCAAATGTCACACTATCTGGGATAATTCTGATTAAGGCAACCAAATGTAACATGATTTCATAAAACTAAATTTGACGGAAACCAGACATTGATGGAAGTTTTTGGGTCATTATAAAAACTGCTGGAATACCTTAATAAAATTTTAAGAAAATGGTTTATTTTTAGCTTTTGGTTACATAGATGTTTCAACATGTCTTCCTTTTCCCAATGTATGCAATGGCTTGGCACCTTTTTTAGTGGACTACATCATCTCTTCTCTCTGACAGCTTTAGTTGAGTCTCTCAAAGTACATCCCCCACATACACACACACACACACACACATATATATATATATATATATATATATATATATATATATATATATATATATATATATATATATATATATATATATATATATATATATATATATGAAAACCAACCTGCTGATTTGTCATCAATGATGCATTGGTAAGAATTTACCAGTGATCCATATTCTCAAGTATCTCTTTTATGCTTAGCTAACCAACCACTTGACTGAATTCTGATAGCATAATTCTCAAAACTATTTCAGCATTTGAACACAGGTAAATTCATCTTTAAACATACTACACAGCCTATTGATTTTATCATCTTTTTACTTTTTCTCTTTTGAAAACTCTTTTCTTTGTAATTATTTTGTTTAAAAAAAACCATGTCAGTCTGGTGGATAGGTTTCTAAATAAAGAATTTAATCCGCAGAGATTTTAGAAAATTTTTTTTATTTTAGTCAAGGAAATAATTTCTCATTTTCACCCAACTTGGTAAGTGTTGTGGGTGGGAGCAGGGCTGTATCCAATAAGACTCGCTTATTAAATTCAAGTTTGATTCATTAAGAATTAGGAGTTTTAACTCCTCTAATTTATCAAAACGTTTTTGTTCTCTTTCAGAATGTAGGTAATCATGACTCTCTACAAATTCCTTTTTTTATTATTTGTGAATTGCTGTTTTCCCATTCTATTTGCCATGGTATAGAGAGGCCAGTTTAGTTAAACTCAAACTGGAGGAAGAAGAAATGGATTTATGCCTTTCCCAAGAGCAAAAGTGAACACAACAGACTAGGTTGCAATTTGAACTCTGATAACCAATTTCTTTTTGCATTTAGCAGACTCCATTCTCTCTTCTTCCTGACAGCTTTACTCGAGTCTTTCATTACCCATACATTAAATTTCTTTTTCTACATTTTATATCATTAAGCGAAAGCCTTCTCTTGTTTTCAACTAGTTCTATACTTTAAAACCATAAAATAAACTACTTGTCAATAATTAACAATGCTTTATATTAAAAAAATATTAAAAAAATGAAAAATACTGTGCTTTTGTCTGTGGTCCAGTTGTTACTATAAGATTAGGAAATGAAGGAAGGGGAGTAGATAGGTATTAGGGCTTGTATTACGGGAACAGAACAGAAAACATACCATTGATTGAAAGGGTACCATGAAATTAATACCTCAACATTTTGTATATGCTTAATGTATTCTTGTATCATGTTTACTTGAGAGCAATCAACCAGAACAAGAAATAGTTGAAAAGGAAGCTAGTTTCAGCATTCTGATATTTAATTTAAAAGGAATTTCAAGTAGATATTCATTCTTATTTTTACTGAAAGAAAATGATACTACCTTAAGGAATTGACTGGTATTTAAATATTGACACTAGTTATTTACTCATTTTAATGTAATTTATACATTGAAATAGTTTTTTCAGACTCGATATCTAAAATTTTACACATTTTAAGGTATTACAAATTTAAATTCAATTTGTGACTTACATATTGAGGGATTAACTTGTGTAGGTATTAAAACATTTTTTTCTTTAAGATAGGCTGACATGGTTCATTTGTTTAATTTCTAATATTTTTCTAGTTTGCCTTTAACTTGTTGCACATCTGGATCAAATTTATGGAGAAACTGACCCTAGTTCATAATACTTTTGTTCAAGTACTTTCAACAATCTTTAGTCTTTTTCAGGAACATTAATGTTATCAATAAAAGCAAAAGTTTTTAGATTCATCATATCATTTTTAGGAATTCTACAATTTGAATTATAGTATATGTAATACTATGTTTAGGACAATATGTAAAAAAGTATACATTTTAAATAAAAAACAAAAACAAAAAGAAAACCCAAAATTTGACAGTACCTGAGGACAAATATTAAATTTGTTTAACCACATATTAAAATGCCATCACCTGTAATGAAAGATGTTTGATGTAGCTTGTTTCATTTATATCTTAAGGTCTGTCTTTACAGTGTATGCTATATAATATTTCAGCATTATCTAATAATTGTCTTGTGTTTGTTATGATGGTTAGGTTACTAAGTGCTTGAATTACACTAAGTCACAATTAAGTGGCAAGTTAACCTACCAGAGAGTCGTTTTAAAGATCTCTTTGTAAGGACTTCATTAAGAGATTGTAAAATAAATGAATATTTAAGATTAATGTTATTGTTATTATATTGCAAAAGTTTGTGCCCGATTAGAAATTTTTTTTTTTTTTTTTTTTTTTTAGATACAAGAACGATTTATTAGCCAAGTACATAGTCTCCATTGTTTTACAAGGTTGTTGATGCCATTTTTCATAGAAACTTTTGCTGGAAGAAGGTTGTGCGGTACTTTTTAACAGACTATACAGTAAATTCTTTTATTTTAAATTTTTCTGTAGAGACCATAATATGAAGGAGCCAAGTCAGGAGAATACAGTGAGTGTTGGAGGGTTTCCCATTTCAATTCTTTAAACTTCTGCAAGGTCTGTTTTGCTGAGGTGGAAAATGACACTTTTTGATTTGCTAGCAAAGAAATCATAGCATAAACAATGTAGAGCTTGTTCTGTTCTGTCAGAGAATGTGGCACCAAAGTGTTGAGTTCAGAAATGAACAAAAGTCTCTTCAAGTGGTGAAAGACAGTTGAGTTTTTTTTTTTTTTTTTTTTTTATAACTCTTAGCAATCTCTTCCATCAAAATCTTCACTTTATTTTTCATGATGACCAGAAGTGTGTCTTTAACATCAGAAGGTCACCTGGAGTGTGGTTGATTGTGTAGATTAAAATTCTCTATGAAATCTGCCAAACCACTATTTAACTGTGAAGAGCTGGAGCATGATCCAAATAAACATTTGAATTTTTTTTTTTTTTTTTTGTCAGTTTTTTGAAATTCAGAGTACAATTTTTTTATCCTCCATTTTTAAGGCGTTTATTTGTGGACAAAATGTCAGCATTCAACAAAATCTGACACTGTTAATCTAGAATACACCAGAAATTGGCAACAAAACAAATACCAGTGTCCAGTTGTGGTTATTTTATAATGAAAATCGCACACAAACTTTTGCAATGATCTGATACTCTGAGTTTTACATTAAATTAAATTGGCAAATAATAAATACTGTAAAAGCACATCCTTCAAACTACCCCACTCTCTCTCATTACAGTTACAAACTATTTTGTGTGCAATAAAGTTTTTCCTTACTTGAAAAGAGTACTTTCATTGTACTTTACTTGATGTCTGCATTTTAGACTTGAGGATAACAAGTGTCAGTAGCTTAATTATGAAATAAAATCTTAGATTTTTTTTTTTTTCTCCCCAAACTATTTCAACCACTCATCTCTTAACTTAGTTTGGTACCTCTCAATTTTGTTGGAAACAATCAAGTTGTGTTAATTTATGCTTATCAACTAACCCATCATTAATCCATATATTCATTAAAACTGTCATTAGGGCAATGAAAATATTTCTTTTTTTAATTTGCTTCCTCTAATATATTACTTTTTACAAGTATGCTTTTAGATGTCTATACCCAGGTTTCCTTATATATAAAAAAAATAGATATGGTGCGATGGATGAATTTATGCAAAAATGACACTGACATTTCATTTTAATAGATATATTTACCAAAATTACACAAAAATATCTTTAAATACTAAAGAGTAAATTTATTTGATAAAAC